TGCCCTTCGAACCGTTGGAAGACGAGAGACCGCACAAGAAACCCGATCATTTGTCGTCATCGTCATTGGCTTGTTCCATTGACCAAAGGGCGTTGCAATGCGTGTTGATGATTTTGCTGGGTGCGAATTTGTGCAGCGTCGATGTAGCAACGTCGCATTCCCAGCCAGCTGGTAGCCAAGGAGGGGGCGGTGTTGCCAGATAATTGAGTTGCTGTAGACTAAGTGAATGGCATTGCTGGTTGAGGCACGGTGCAAGTAGGAACGTGGCATCAGCGCTCTTGCCTGTTTGGAAACCTACATAGAGAAAACATTGAGAACCAGATCGTCTTCGTAAAAGTGTTCCACAATGTTTGTCGCGTTGTTATGTCAACCCAGTGACGGTCACCGTGTCGCCATGATTATTTCTCGACATGTCGAATATGGCGATGGGCTGATGATATAATCTGCATTTATTTTTCTTGTACGTCACCATGGAGACCGGCTAGAGTATATCTGTTATGAGAGGGCAGCAGTATCGTGATGTCTTCATGGAACCAAGATTTAAATCATTTCTGTTATAATGGACGGAATGGTTCGAACGTTGCTGCTCTCCTATTGGCAGTTTCAGAAGGTAATCACGTCTGTGTGTTTTGTGCGATATTTCAATTCATGGTCGGGCGAATAGCCTGTTGACCTAGTCGTAGCAGCGTATTTATAATGTGTAAATTGTGCGGGAGGGAACCGTGCCGTACCGCTGAGGAGCCACATTGATTTTACAGCTCTCACTACTCAGTGTAGGAATGTTTTCCTTCTCTGTCTCGACTCGGCTGGTGGTTTAGGGAACTGCCGTGTGAGAAGGGTGGGGAGGGGGGCGGAGGGAGTAAAGCCTGCCTTCTAACATTACGTATTTACTGTAAGCCCCAAAGTGAGTGAGTGAGTGAATGTGGTGGTAGCAGTGGCATGTATCGACGACATCTTGGCTTCTTTGCATCTGACTCGTCATCTTCGATGTGTTACTGTGGCGCCCCAACATGCGTCTTTTTAATTTTAAAGTACTGCCACTTCTAACATGGCCGCCACCAGTAACTCACTTCTGGCCGTCACACTGGGGCGAGAGTTTAGCCTTATGTTATCGTCTGGTATTATTGTAGGTGTGTGCTTTGTGTGTCCTGCGTTCACTTCCGTAAACGCCTGGCCATCTTTCGATTTATTTTGGTAGTTTCGAAATCTGTTGTGGTTTCGATAAGGAGGATACAGTGATATTTCGATGCGTGAAAGCAGCGATATTAATCGTATACAATCGAGGGAGACTGTGGTGGAGAACTGGTCGTACTATGTACATCTCGCTCTTCCCCCCAGGTGCCCTCTCCTCCTCCATTTTGTCGTGATTCCCGACCGATTACCATTCTGAGTTGTCATGAATGTGACATAATTAACATTTTCCATGTTGGCTCACCGTATGCCCACATTATGTTGCTTTCCCAAAACAACAGAACATTTCACCTATTCACGTAATTACCTTTTCTTATTTCATAAAACAATTGGGACGTAATGTGATGTCTGCCGTCGTTATTTATCGTGACAGTTGTGTTACTCCGAGCAAACTAGTTCAGGTTAAAGTAATAGATATTTTATGTTCTCATAATATTTATGTTGTTTATTTTTAAATTACATGAATGTTATCGCGGTCAAGATTGATACAGCATCAGTTGTCATGGCCAGCAGTTGGGGCAGGTGTACTAGGATTGGATAAAAATACGATCCATTCCACAATTCGGGGCATGTTTGTACATTTTCATCTCACATCAGACTTTGCGTTTTGTAAGGTTTTTTTTTTGTAGGGTAAAATGTTTTGGCTGTTCACAGTTTCGAATCCTACAAATAACGCGGGTGCCTGATATGTTTTTTTTTGCATGTTCCAAAGACTTCCCAGTTTGAAACGTGAATTCGAATGTCGTATGAATATATATGTAACGAAGTAACCAGTGAAGTCTTTTTTTTTAATTGAATGGTTTTAAAAAAAAATTGCTTGTGGCTTAATAGTATTCTTTTTTCAAACAGGGTTAAAACTATAATTTTCAAAAAAATTGTGTTAAATGTGGAAACGTTTTAATCTCTGTAATAACTTAAGCACTGTTGTCACTGTGATGAAAAAATAAACATAATTAAAATTTAAAAAAATGAATGTGGAAACCCGACTTATATGACTGCCCCCCCCCATGGACTGGACAAAATGTTTTGTGGATTGTCTCCATAAAATATGTACATTTGACAAAAATAGCATTAAGCAATGCCAGTATTTGAGCCAACTCATAATTTATAACTGCTCTGGCCGTCAAAGTCATCTACTCATAGTTCTCATGAGTAACAAATTATTATTTTTCTTTGTTCAATGACATTTTCAGTAGCTCAAATGATGTAGCACTTAATGTTGGCATGTTTAATGAATTGAAAAGGACATGGAAGGAAGTTGTTATGTCCGAATTTAAGGTGCTACGCTGGCATTTATTTGGATGGGCTATGGTAGTCCGCCACCGGGCCAACCAGGGGCCTCCTGAATACAAAGCAGGAGTTCTAACCACTTCACCACGATGTCTTATATGGTTTTGTAGAAAATTTATTTCACAGGAGTGCCCAATTTGTTTTAGGACAGGTTAAGAAGTATTCTAGAAATTTTTGTAATTTTTCACTCATTTTGGCAAATGTAAAAGTGTAATCTCATTTTTATTGTTTCACTTTAATGGCAGCTGTATTTAGAAAAGTGTCTGGATTTGATCCACGACTCTCATTAAATGTTATACAGCCCCTCCCCCCCCTTCCACACCCTGGGAAAAACCACTTTATACCCACTGAATTGGAAACTCTGTGTGCCTCAGAGTTGGTCTGGATGTTGTGAAAAAAAAGACAAATGCCTACCAGTCATTAAACTCATTTGCTGATCGTCCCATATCCTCGTGACTGAGCGGACTGAGAGCTGTACCAGAGCTGCATTTTACATACGTGTTGGTCCCCTGTCACCATATCTTTCTTTTGAAAATAAATTTTATCAGGTACATTGTGGTAGCAGTGGTGCACCCATATGAGAGGTACCCCAGTTGGAATGTATGTAGTGGGCGAATCATTTTTAGGAGGATCTGTAATGTGTTCTTCGCAAATTACGTTATCTAGAAACATTTATGCTGTGAGCTTCCAGTGATGTGTCATGCCAAGACTTGCCTTTTTTTTCTACTCTGACCTCTCCTTTCATTCATTTTATTCTCAGTTCCGCATATTATCCTGTAAAAAGTAAATTTTTAAATTTAACGCTTTACTTAAGCATAGTTGGCTAGAATGTGTATAACCGAGATAAATGCGGAGTTCCACATGTTCCTAACCGTGGCACCAGATGGTTGCGGGCAGTCGAACTGCTCATCAGAGAGAAACCGTCCATTGCTCTCTACATGGATGTCTGGGTGTGTCCCAGAGACGATCATTGTGTTGTGGAAAAGATAATTGATTATGCATGGCCTTCCAAGGGTCGTACTTAAATGCTAAGTGAACTAGCATAAATTTGTGATAAATTTTTATTTTTGTGTTGTTAAATCCTCTTATATTACCAGGGTTGCAAATGGTCATAGATGCATGATGGCACCATCTGTTTAGTTCCAGAGCACTTTTTAATGACGTTATAACCATTGGCTTAAGATGTCATAATTGTCATTCCTAGTTGTACATACAGGAACAGATTTCCTACTCAGTATCGTAATAAACTTTTTGTTCGTTGGTCATTCCCCCAAGCTTCTCAGTTGATCTGGACCGTGTGCCTAGTTCTGGGGAGTGTACACATTCTGGAAAACAATTTTCACTCCTGATGTAAAATTGGACAAATACAGAGCTGGAAGAATTAAAATACAGCATAATTTCTAAGATGAAAGTTGGTGTTTTCTATGTTAATTATGGTGTTGTTACATGGATTTGAAATATGATTGGGCCCTCGACAAGTATATTTTGGGCGACAGTGAAGGTCCATCCATATTAGTGAGGAGGGAGACCAGCTAGTTGCTGGTAAGATTTGACTTAGCCTCCGCACAGTGTAGATATTGCATGCTGTGATTCGCATTTTGCTGATGTTAGCAATGGATGAAGGTCACTTCGTGTTGGACAATCACACCTTCTTTTGTTTCAGTCTGAGACTGATTTTTATCCACAGACCTGTAGCTGGCAGTTCATTTGATTACACTGGATTGCCATTACAATGTGTGCTATGAAACATTTTCATCGTTTAGGTGTGGAAACCACTTATAAGATAGATTAAGAAGGGGATGTTGAATATTACGAAATAGAATTCGCGTATTAGGAGTTGTTACATGTGAAATTGAAGTTTTTTGAATGCGTGGCTTCTGTATCATTTGAAAAACTGATCATCTGTTGAAATGACCTGCCAACAAAGGATGGGAATTAATGCTTTGAAACAAGCTCGTCTGATTATTTACAAATTCATTTGTACCTCAAAGAAAACACAACCCATCTCAGTTGCAATGATCAACTGGTTAATAATGCTGTTTTGGGATATAAACACTGGCATAAGAATAGTAATCCCTGTTCCGCACTAACATCTCTATCGGTTGTAATATCAGTTATAGTTCATGGTGGTGAAATTTCACTGTTTTATGAATGACCAATAGAGTTGGCAGACAAAATATTAAAATAAAAAGTGTCTTGTCATAATTCGAAGCAAGTACAATATGTAACATTTTGTTAAAATATGTCAAAGTACATTTGAATTAAAAATATTGCTACTACACACTGGTTTATAAATGCTATGTTAAGATACAAAAGTGAGGTTTGCTGTTTTATGCATATATTCATCCAGAGGTTATCTTTTTATGTCACTTTAATTGGTGTTTACCATCTGGCATTATTACTCTCCCCACCAATCCCCCCAATTGCATAGTTAAGTGCAGACATGAAGAAACTGTGTGTGTAGTCTGATTCTTTGAAGTAAATGATGTTATGATTTTGTTTCTTTTTTTGCATTGCAGATGTCAGCTGGGTCTCAAATTCAGATGGCACCACAGGCAACTGTCAATTCAGGCCAGCCAGTTCATAGTCAGGACTCCAACATGAGTACAGGTATGTTTACAGCTTGCTCTTTAATCTAGCAAGCATATGTACCGCCACGCTTGTCAGCAGCGGGTTCTGCCGTTGTAGGTTTCAGATGTGCGCATCTTGTCCTTTGTGTCCACATTTGTATTTGTGAACACGTGGCAAAAAAAAAAAACTATGTATATTTGCTGGGGGCAGGGCTGTGATGGCATCTGAAACGAGTTTCATAGTTTCCAGCTTACCGTTGTCAAGAAAATCCCTGATTTCTATGAAACCTGCAGGTTCATGGCTTTGTTTGTCCTTAGCGTAGTACCCTTAAAGGTGAAGTCATCCCCGTTGCGTAATAAGCACCATGCCATACAGACATATAGAATTCTACATTCTTAGAATTGTAATTTAGTAAGATTCAACTTTAGAATTTATGACAATAAATAACTGAGCGTTGCACTTTTACATTTATTGGTCATACGAATTCCATCTAACTGTGTTGCAGTAGTATACCACTATTGCTAAACCTCCAGAGAGTTAAGAGACGACCAGCAGCGTGTAGTGCAAGGATTCAAGTCCGTTATTCCCGCGTGATACGTATTAAATCATTTACTCTGTCGTGTTATTGTGAATGATGCTTAGTGTGAACTGAACATTATGGGCTCTCCTGTTCGCATTCAGAAGGTCCTGAGTCTACATCTCAGCCTGAAGACAGGTTATGCTGACTAGGTTTTTCATGGTTTTTGTCAGTCCCTCCAGGATAGTGCCTTAAACTAGACCAAACCTTAGTGGTACCTGTATTGGAACCTCTGCTACTTGAAATTTGTGTTATGCTTCCTTATCTCTGAACATTACATCCTGTTTTCTCGTGCTTTACAATTATATTAGTAACACGAACAAACCAGATAATTTGCTGTTGTGTAATACTCGATATGAGATCATTTGTTTCTTCATTGCTGATAAAGGGATAATATAAGAATACTAAAACAGTCATGTATGCCATAAAAATTACATTTCTGTTCTGTCAGAAATGAAATGTTTATATGATTATCCATTTCTTGTTTAACATATGCAGAATATCCAATAATTATTCGTCCATAAAGGCAAATTTAATGTGGACAAACCACTGGGGGGGGAGAGGGTTGGGGTAAACACAAAACATATGTGAAAAAGGGAGTTTTGTTTAGTGCAGTGCAAAGAGGTGTGTGACTTTTTGAATGCAGCATTTGGTAGTAACTGCTTTTGCACCAAGGAGGTTCGGTTCCGTGGCCCTCCACGTCCCCTGATCTCACTGCATGTCAAAGACGTTGTTTGCAGCCAGCGACCCTTCTCACTGCCTGAATTTGGCCAGCTCATTGTGGCAGTGACCCCAGACGTGCTTGGCAGCGCGTGGCAGAATCTTACTCATTACTGCAACCTCTGCTGTCTTTGCGGGGGTGATCGTGCAAAGAACAAACAAAACATCACCACCCTCTGAGTGTCTTGTAATATTTTCATACCTGATTATTTATTGAACATTGTAGACAGAATGATTAATGCGTGTTAATGAATTTTATTTGTATTATTTGATGGGCAGATTTTTTTCATGATAGTGAATAATTTAACTTTTGTATTATTTGATGGGCAGATTTTTTCACGATAGAGAATAATTTAACAAGAACAAATAAAAACCCTGGACCGGCATCAGATTAACTTGACCAGGGGTCCCATCGGAGTCTATTCCTGTGATTTAAACAAAATAGGAACTGTGGATTTAAAGATGAAGGAAGCAACTAGCTAAACCTTTGTTTTGCGTTAATAAGGTGGTGTGTTAATCAGTTACCCAGTCAGTATGTCAGTTCATCACTCATCTATTAATTATTTATTTAATCAGTGTATTATTTCGTCACGTGTCACTAGTTGGTCTAGCCTCTGTATATTTCATCCAGACATAATTGAAGAAATCGGACGTAACAGTTGCCATTTGTATAGGCGTTAAATAGTTGTTGATCACGACATTTTAGGCCTGTTAACCTTTGGATTACAGCCAAGTATTGTACTACATTTTAAAAATATATATATCCTATATTTACTCCTCATCCAGTTATAAAATGTTTGTATGATTAATTTTGATGCAGAGCTACATAGTGAGTCTGTGTAGTTCATATGGCTGTCTGCCAGTATCTGGAATGATTATAAGTAATATTACTTGTGATAAAGGAGATGTGGTGTGCCTTAAATTAGACCGTGTCTTAGTAGCAACTGTCTTGTCACTCTGCCATCTGTCACTTTTAACTCTCACAAGAATGGCTGTTTCCAGTCAGATTTTAAATGAAGATGTCAATCTGAAGTTGTGTGTCTCGGTTTGCTAAATGATGTTTTAATAGCTACTTCCTATTAAGATGTGTATAATAGGACGCTGATGAAAATTTCAAAATGAGGAATTTAATACTTTTTAACTCTTTACTATTACAATGATCAAATCAAGGAGAATGCAGGAGCGATAAGAAATGCATACAAAATTTTCAAGTTGGAAGACCGTAAGGAAAGAGACTGTGTGGTTGGCCTCGGCATAGGTAGGTTATTATTAAAATGGTTGTTACAGGGTGTGAGAGGGTGGACTACCTCAGTTAGCAGTAGTGTTCTTATGAACGCAGTAATAGACTTCCCATTAAAGGTTTTGATTTTCTTGACTAGCTGAACTTTGCAAGAAGGACTGTATGCCGTGGCGTTAGTTACGGTCTGTCTTGAGGAATTTAGGTGTGAAGACGTCAGTTGAATTGGCTTAGGACTGATATCAATTGCAGGCATTTGAGCTGAGTGATGGACCATCAGGATTTCTGACAGCAAAGAATTTATTGATCATCCTAAAAATTGTAAACTGTCACAGGAAGATGCTGATGTTCGTCTGGGTTGTCATGCCATGTAGACTTGTGGGCAGGCACCAGTGTTTTGGACAAATGTAATTCTCTTCAGACCTGAAGATGGAGACTGTATATTTCTCCAAAATTTGGTATCTATCTACAGGTGTACATGGCACCACAACACAGTAGGACAACATTGGCGTCTTTACCACTGTGAGAACATCAAATCTCCCGTACTGCAGGAAGACCCTACATCATTTCAACAACTTCTTTGCCTCCAAAGATGACAGCATGACTTTTCTGATATATACATTTGCTCACGTATAGGTAATAAGGAACGATATTGTTGTGGAACCTGAAGGTTTAAGATATGCTTTCTTCATATTCTATGTGCGTCCAGTGCATTATAAACTTCTTAATTTGATAATGTTGCTGTAGCTTCTTTAATTTCAGTGTAATATGATTCGTACTGTGTAGTAGCAGTAGAATCTTAGGCTCAAGAAACCATTTTTTTCTCAGCTTTCAGGCAAGGTGGGTATGAATTTCTTTAAAATAGGCCATGTCCACTTGTTTCTACATCCCTTCCAATTCTATATATGCGGTTATCCTTGTTTTTAACTTTGTGTAACGTGCGCACTTGTGAAAATGTTGTCAAACATAAAATAATAGTATGATAAAGTGTAAATAAACCAATGTGTGCTGTAGGCTTGTACCGAAGACTGTTGTTGGTTTGAATGATGATGATTGATGCTGTGTTTCTGTTGGCAGGTTCGTCTCATAGTGATAAAGAGGTGGACCAAAACACTCCTGAGAAGATCTCCCGCACGCCCTCGGAAAGGAAGCGCAAACGTAAGGGAGATGATGGGGGAGGGGGGGTGGCGGGGCCTGTGGGCGGTGCTGGAGGAAAGGGTGCTCGCACGGGAGACAACAAGAAGATCAACGAGTACTTCCCCAAACATGCGGGTACCAGTCCCATTCGACATGGCGGCTCAAAGAGCCCTTCCCCCCAGGCATATCCCATGGTTAGTAATTACTTGTGATTTTATCGCCTTTCCTTATGTTTACATTTGGAATAATAAACAAACCATCGTTTCATGAATTATATGATTTTAATAGACAGACTAATGAATTAATGTTTTTGCTACTGATGATGACCTCTTGAGGTTGAAACACGTTTGGCACAAAGTGTTGTTTAATGTGTAAACAGTTTTGTTTGTATGCATGATTTTATATATCAAAATTTAATCCTACTAGAATTTTGAATGTAATTGAATTATATCATGATTTTTGTTTCTGTCTTTGCAGTACCCTCCCTCCCCCCAGCAGGCACTGCTACCTTCGCCTCAGACACCAGGCGTTCAGTCTGTACCTCCAGAGTTCTCAAACCTCATGCATCCGCCCAGGCCTCCACCAACCATGATCAGCAAACAAGTACAGGTAAGATACATCCCTCTTCTTGGATGTTTTCAGTATTATTATTTTCTCTGCTGTTGTGCTTCTTACTAGTCCTCTGCCTTCCATCCTTGTATCTGTATGCTGTGTTGTGTCTTTTGCCTTCAGTTAAAAGAGTGGTTTTCGTAACATAGTTAGAGAAATTAAATCTGATAATGAAAGTACAATGTAATCTCATTTTGTGTAACTGAGGTTTTCCCAGTTTGTATTGTACCACACTGGTATTTGGTTTCAAAATTTTGTCAGATAGCTTTTCATCATTGCTCAAATGCATTGTTCCCAGAGAAATATTTGAAGTTTGTATTTGAATTTAATGCGTGCATTATGTATACGTGGTGGTTAATGTCTGTAAGGTGGATGTGAGAAGGGTGGCTGTCTTTCTTTCCTCAGACAGAGCTAACGTGTCAGAGGATACAGGAATTTGAAACACAAGCATCTTCTGATCTGGAACTCCGAAATAACAAAATAGATGAACTAAATAGAGTGAGTATCATTGGTTTTTTTTTTATAATTAATGCTTGTTAGTAAGCGAAGTGTAATCCAGTTTAAAATATACATATTCTGCAAATATTTACATATATGGTCAAGATTTAAATGCATTACCTATTGAATACAAAGCACGAGTGCCAACCACTCTGTAGCTGTGTTCAGTTAGTCAGCCTCCAGTTGTTCCTCTGTCTAGACTTTCAGTTTTCCTGCATCCTGTTCTGGGTCATATTAACGTAATTACGTGCAGAAAGGGTGAGGTGGGCAGTACAGACAGCGTACGTGTGGAACGAGAAACGTATGTGATACTGAAGTCTTCATGTGAGAATGAATATTAATTCCATTCTCAAACAGACTGATCTCACATGAAGGCTTCATTGCGTTCAGTTTGCCGCAAAAGCTTTAAAAACTTGAATGCGTGTGACATAATGTTGGGAAGACTCGGGTAAAGAGGCTACTTGGGATACCTGACATAGATGGGCTATTAATATTAAAATGGGTCTTAGAGAAATTGGATGTGAAGGGATTGAGCTGTCTCAAGATTCAGTGTAATGGTGGGCTTTTGTAATAATAGTGACAGACTTTAAAATTGCATAATAATAGGTGTTTTTCATGGTGAAATCATAATCATTTGCCAATGGTTGATGAATTAGTTGATGGATGAATTAGAAGAGATTGAGTTGCACTAGGTGGAGTGAGCAATCAGGTTTGTTGGCCTCGTTGTTTCTGTTGGAGAAGTTACTCCCAGTAACTATTTAATAGCGTGTTAGGTAAGGTTCAGTTGACCTTGAGTGTGAGGACCAAGAAAAATTCCATCCCTGTTGGGAACTGAACCCTGGTTCTTCAGCCTTCACTGTCATCTATGGTGGCTTGCATTTAAGGAAGTAGGATGGTAGTCGTGTTTGTATCTGGCATTGACATGCTGAATCCAAATGTTTGGGCTTATCCTGAATATACTTTTATGTTTGATGAGCAGTGGCAAAAGTAACCTCTCTTTGATAATGGCAGACGACAGAGGAACTGAGGCATCAGTTGGCGGCGCAGCAGAAGGTTATAGAGCAGCACAAGTCACATATCAACAAGTGCATTGATGTGGTGAAGAAACTGCTCAAGGAGAAGTCGAACATCGAGAAGAAGGAGGCGCGGCAGAAGTGCATGCAAAATCGGTTACGGCTAGGCCAGTTTGTTACGCAGAGGGTAGGCGCAACTTTTCAAGAGAACTGGACTGATGGTTATGCATTTCAGGAGTTGGCAAGGTACGAATGTTGAACTCTCAACATAATAACTATATTTAGGCTTAATTAGCCAGGTGTTCCTGTGTACATTTACCTATTAATTTTGTTTCTACCATTCACACTATCGTGATGGTAATTTAAAATTATCTGGTTTCCTACAAGGCGGCAGGAAGAAATTACAGCGGAGCGAGAAGAAATTGACCGACAGAAGAAAATGCTGCTAAAGAAGCGGCCATCAAATAGTGAGACAGGACGTAAGCGGAGTAACACGCAGCAGCAGCAGCAACAGCAGCAGCAGCAACAACAACAAGGACAGGGTTCGGCTATCCTCCACAACGGCACTGACGCCACGTTCCTGAAACCGGATGCTATCCCGGGCTTCTCGTGGCAAGAGTACTATGAGGCTGATGAAATTCTCAAGGTTAGAAGCATGTTTTCAAGTTACTGAAAATAAAAGTCATGTGATTTGTCATTAAAACATGGACTAGCAGTCGTAGTTACAGTGTGGTGCTTTGAGGATATATCTGACAAATTTAATTTTGTGGAATATGTGCTAGTGGAAATTTATGTGCAGATATGGATCACTACAGAGTATATTAATTAATCGAGTAGGGTCTCTGCCTCTTACTGTTTTGCTTACCAGCCTGTCAGGGTAGCCCCCATCCTTCTGTCCTATCCCATCCCTTTCCTTTTCTCTCTTTCCGTTACAGGTGACCAGAAATACTGATGACCATAGCTGGAAGTAGCAAAGAGCAAAATGCAACTTGCTTTGCATGTTCTTTTCCATTGAGATAAATGTAAATTACATGCGCACAATTGTTTTTCAGTTGCGGCAGAGTGCGCTGAAGAAAGAGGATGCAGATCTGCAGCTAGAAATGGAAAAACTTGAGCGGGAACGCAACCTGCACATCCGTGAGCTCAAGAGGATCCACAACGAAGACCAGTCCCGATTCAACAACCATCCGGTCCTCAACGAGCGCTACCTCCTCCTTATGCTTCTGGGCAAGGGTGGCTTCAGTGAAGTTCACAAGGTACAGTTCTGTTGAGACCTTCTAGTTAAAGACGTTTTTGTAGAAGCTGTACAGTCATTTCTCCATTTATGCTGTAGAGGTTTTCCTTGAAAATGCCACACATGTAAAAAAATGTTTAAATTAATTTTTCATATGAATCAAGGAGTGGAGAGTGCTACATACATGGACGAAGACAATTCAAATCAGGGGCTTGAACTCAGGATTATAATTATTATAGGCCCAGTTTAGTGTAAAATGTTTACATAGGTGTGTTTAATGTTACATTAACATTTTGAAAGATGTAGCAAACGTCTTTATTATAATTTAGTGTTTTATTATGCCATTGTCCACCTGGATTACTGTTACTCACCTCGTAACTGCATTAATGTTAGAACCAAAGCAACGTAAATGAAGATGTGGTCCAGCTGCTTTAAATTTAAAACAGGTAAATAAAATTCTTCTATGAATTGAGGAGGCCATGGAGAAGAAGAAGAAGAAGAAATAAAATTATAGCATATTGATCCCTTTGTAATGCAGTAAGAAGAGGCAGTAGGTAATTTTTGTATACTTAATTTCTGCGAAACAGTGCAAAAATGTTCGGCTTTGTATCAAGACAGCTTTCACCGAGAAAATGACAGTCCGCTTTTCCCATGCAGTTATTGAAATTTTGTGGTACTGTTCATATTGTAATCGATTACTGCGAGAACCACAGAAGCAGGAGAAGTGCTTCCTTTACATCACGAATGTGTCATGTCTTTGACATTTTATAAATTTTATGGAGAAGACGTATGACGATATGTCAGAATTGACCCGGTTGATGTCACAAGAGAGATCTGCTTCATAATATCTGATTCCTGATTAATTATTTAAATCTGGAAGGAGGAAATTTTGTTCTATCACTGAATGGCTGTAATTCACTTATGAAGTTCATGAATATTTTGACTTTGTGCACAAGTGGCATTATTTTTGCTTTTGTTTTTCTTTTCAGGCTTTTGACTTGAAGGAGCAGCGCTATGTTGCTTGCAAGGTTCACCAACTGAATAAAGACTGGAAAGAGGACAAAAAAGCTAATTATATCAAGTGAGTTGTCATTGTGTAGACATTGTTTAATGAACCATCCTAAACCTTATCAGTTTGTGTACACACTGAGGTTCGTTATGTATTCCATCTTTCAATCCTGCCAGTGATTATGTATATGCATTTCCTAATACTTCTGAAATCACAGCATTAAACTAATGTAGTTTATTAACACATTGAAGATTTACGTCTGTTCCGCATTTTTCTTCTAGCAGTGGTTACGTAGATTTTCTATTAAAGCTGGTGTATAATGGAGAACATTGTATGTGACTTGTGATTTATGTGTTTGTAGACATGCACTGAGGGAATACAACATACACAAAGCACTGGACCACCCCCGTGTGGTAAAGTTGTATGATGTGTTTGAAATTGATGCTAACTCATTTTGTACGGTACTGGAATACTGTGATGGTCACGACTTGGACTTCTATCTCAAACAGGTGAGTAATGGCTAGTTTGTGTTAATTATAAGCATTAACTTTGTGAATTGTTTTAATAATTTTAACTTATCAAAAAAGAGCTCATTGGCCCATCCAGTATTCTATCTATTGCAGGGATGAGCTTAACTTTGTGAATTGTTTTAATAATTTCAACTTATCAAAAACAGCTCATTGGCCCATCCAATATTCTATCTATTGCAGGGATGAGTAAAGTGAGCATGGTCCATAAAGCTTCGAAAGTCAAATTCTGTGTTTCGTAACATCTTAAATAGTCATTAATTATTAACAGTGGATTTCTACGCCACATCAACAATTCATTTATTTTTGTTATTTGAGTATTACCATATTGTATGTGAGGAAGTAAAAATTGATGAAAGTTTGCGTTAACAAGAATTGCAAGAAACTTCATTGGGGTAGGATTGAAAATATTTTTTTCTCTTCTCTTTTCTGATGTTAGCAACTTTGTGATGTTGGCATTGGTTTTCTTATAGCACAAGACTATTCCAGAGAGAGAAGCACGGTCCATTGTAATGCAGGTTGTATCAGCACTCAAGTATCTCAATGAGATAAAACCTCCAGTCATCCATTATGACCTTAAGCCAGGTATGGGGCTTGCCATTGCCGAAGTACACGTTCATTTACTTTTGTGTTTTATAGACGTGATTTTCAAGACTGAACACACGGTGGATTTGATTGAGTTTGCTTACAGAGAGTGGGGTATTCAAGGGGCATGTGAATTCTTATTCGTTTGTTAGTGGCGCTTTATTCAGACTATCATAACGGCTTGCTCTGCTATGCCCTACTTCACCTCGCATGTACCTAAGGAATCACATGGTAATATTTATGTTTCGTATCGTGTCACCAGAATGAATATTTGTTAGCTTTTGATAAATTCGTTATTGCGTGAATGTGTTTGATGTGTGTTTTGTTTTATCAGGTGATTAGGAAGACAAAAAACTTTCAAATTTATGTCATTAAATAGACACCAAATTGAGAAATGTTTCAGATTAGAGTTTTAGAAGCTTATTGTATCAGTCTTCCACAAATTATTTATCCATCTGCCACTACTTCTTATTTTGTTTCTGTCTGTTATTTAATTGTTAAAATCTAATGTGTTGCAGCAAAATTCTTATATATGCTTACAGGTAATGTTCATGCTTTTAGTGATATTGTTTCCCAATTAATAATTCTATTTTTTCAGGTAACATACTTCTAACAGAAGGTAATGTTTGTGGGGAAATAAAGATCACGGACTTCGGACTGAGCAAAGTGATGGATGAGGAAAACTATAACCCCGACCACGGAATGGACTTGACCTCGCAAGGAGCCGGCACCTACTGGTACCTGCCCCCAGAATGTTTTGTGGTCGGAAAGAATCCTCCAAAAATCTCATCCAAGGTTGATGTCTGGAGTGTGGGGGTTATCTTTTACCAGTGTCTTTATGGCAAGAAGGTGTGTATACCAATTGATAATACAGATTCCAGTTGTCACGAGGATCACTGTGTAACTTCAGTTTCTGTTTTATGGCTATAAATGGTGAACTTTCATGTAAAGGGGGATTATATAGTGGACATCATGCACTAAAATAAGTTATCACGCTGCATAATTATAACGTTTTTGGGGCATCTATATATAGGATGACAAATAAGGCAGAACTCATTCATTAGTACATGTTTGGCAGTATTTTCTGTTTGTAGTAGTTGATAGTGTAATTTTGTTTAGTGGTAACACTGCAGTCTGCACGAGGTGTGTGATGGGAACATCTATTACGATACCACAGTGAACTCAGTTCACAGACATTCCATTCAACAGATTTGTGAGCCCCATAGTTTATGAAACTGCCCTGCATAGTTTATTTGGTGAAAGTTTATTAATTTCTTTAAGGACTGTGGTCACGTTGGTCTCCGTGCCTTTCAAATTATAACTCTCTCTAGGGCTATTTTAGCTGCTTGAATATTCAGATGAGTTCTTTTTCCATTACGCTATAAGTGGAAATGTTCGTTTCAACATATTCTTTCTGATTCATCTTGTTTCAGCATCTTCTTAGTATCATGACTAATATACTGATAGTGGAACTGACTAAATGTAATGTTGGATGTTGTAGCCTTTTGGACACAACCAATCTCAAGCCACCATCTTGGAGGAGAACACAATTCTGAAGGCAACTGAGGTGCAGTTTGCGAACAAGCCTACGGTCAGCAATGAAGCGAAGGTAATAACTAGGTCTTCCAACTTTCCTTCTTCCTTATGGACCATATTCAGACCTCTGTCTTGGACATGATTCTATCCCAGTGCAGGAGCGTGACTTTCGAAAGTGTTGGCCAAATCCAGGGGGATTTATGAAAATTATGCGATACACAATGCTACATCAAATGGTAGCATTTAAGGAACAGTTTACATGCCAAGACTGGCTATTATGAGATTGTGGGATGACATACATTTCCTCCTCTCCCTCAAAAGTGTGTACCGTATGTCTCTTCTAATTGCACCTGGTGATGGTTTGTGGTACTTTTAAAGGTTAAGGCATTCAGAATTAACTTGAAAATAAAATTGTATGAACACAGACCCCACAGAATGATAGTTGTTTGCTCGAAGACCTACTTTCTGGCATAATTTGAATATGTGGGTATAATACCTTCGGAACATGCCTTCATGAACAGCGAGTGATTTTAGTGGTTGTTTAAATATGATATTTGATGCTGTAAGCGATTAAATTCATTAATATGTTTTAATTCTCTATAACTCCTCTCACTGTATTTGTTTATTGTTCATAGAGCTGTTATTCAGTGTTCAGACTTGCTTATTATGGATTCTTGTTTGCAGAGTTTCATCAGAAGTTGCTTAGCATATCGAAAGGAAGACCGGATTGATGTGTTCTCCCTGGCCAGGCACGAGTACCTGCAGCCCCCTATGCCGAAGCACGGTCGACAGGCAAGCAACCAACAGCAGATTCAACAGCAGGCGCAGCAGCAACAACACATTCAACAACAACAACAGCAGCAACAGCAGACCTCTTTCAGTACTGGGATGTTCAGCGGCATGAATGCATCCAGCTCCTCCTAGTGACCAAGGAGGCGGCGCAGCGATGTGGCCATGAGAAAAAACCTGGCTCCCCGTGCAGCCTCAAGCGGAGCATTCTCAGCCTAACCTGGCAGCAAGTATAACGCCCATCTCCTGCAAAAGGCAGCGTTTGTTAATCTGGCAGCAAAGATGGATTGATTGATTGATCGATCAGCGTGTGCGATGGAATTCTTGTCCGTGTAGAACCATCTTGTCTGAATCAATGAAATGCGAAGTGAATGTTGGAAATACTGCAAACAGATTGTTTTGATTCTTGTCAAGGTTATCCGGTGTGACAGAGTGGAGCGTTTTGTTGGTCTTGGCTCCGCGGCTTGCTGACCGGAATGTGGAGATGTGCCCCGCCCGTAGTTTTTTTTTTTTAGATCCCACGTCGTAAAATTACCTCCAGAAAATTTATGCATCTTGAAGTGGGTAGTATTACCTCTTGACATTTACTGACAGGCCACTCTAGGGTACAATACACTAATAATTTTTTGTAGTAAGAGTCACCATTGCTGTGTTGCTTTCCTATTTTCATCAGTGTTTCATTTCAAAGCAGAACAAATTAATTTAACAAGGCCCTTTTGATTTTACAAAACAATTGCCCTATACTATTCGATATAAAGGCGGTGATCATAATCGGTGCTTAATTCCCAAAGTGAACCTAGATTGTGTTGCTGTGCCATGGATTGAGAGACAAATTCATTTAACCATTGTGCGGCATCGCTGAAGTTCCTCGTTAAAGAGCGGTAGTGTAGCTGCTGGCATAAATAGGAGACAGACACTTCTGGAAGAGGCATACTGGAAAGGTGGTGAGGGGGTCTCCTCTGTGTACATATATTAATGTTACCTCCTCTCCCCTTGCCTCCATGACGGGATGATCAACATGTATTGACCAGTGAGTCATCTTCTGACGTAACATCACTGAATATAGAATCGGACAAGAGGTGACGGAAAACACTTACTGTCCGGTGACTTTGGATTTCTTCGTCTTCTCTACATAGCTCGCGGAGTAGGGATGTGTTTGTTTTGTTATTCCCCCGTGTGTGGAAAAGTAATATGCAGACCATTGGTATAATTAATAATAAAAGTGAAACTCTTATAAATACGTAGTGAAAGCTTTAGAGAACATGCACGGAAGGAAGAAATACGAGCGAGCGAACTGGCCCCTAGTGTGTGGAAGTATTCCGTGAATATTTCAACACTTCTGTCCCCTACTCTCTTTCTCTCTCTCTCTTTCTCTGTCTCTCCCGCTGATGATGCTTTCTGCTTCCATCGTTGACCACATGTGTACAGTCAACTTTTTTGTCTGGTTTTTTGTACCATTGTAATTATGTTGATGTCCTAAAGGATCACTTTTTATTATCAAAGAAGAATCTGGTAATCATAGCAGTTCAAAAGAGTGAAATGGGAGAAAAGGGAAAGGCAACTCAAATTTAATGTCTTGTTTTCTCCTCTTTTTTGATAGAAAATAATAAGGCTATTGTAAGTTATTTTTAAAAGTGACCTTGCTCGGATGCTTTGTAACATATACTGTTGTTGTCACTGAACGCAGGAGGTGAGGATTGAGGTACAAGCCATGGGCTTGCATGTGAATTGTTTTACTGGTTCCATTTTTTTTGTGCATGAGAGTGGGTGTATGGCGTGTGCATGGTCAACATGTCGCCAAGCGGCAGATGGACAGACTGGTGTAGTGTACAGCTGAGCTTCAGTGTGTTGAGAATATACAAGTCTGACTGGTACTGTAACATGGCACTGGTTTTTCATACCTCCTTTTACCTAGGCTTGGTAGAATTTTATTTAAAAGCTGTATATATATAAATATATAATTCAGGTATCCTTATGTGAGAATAAAGCGTCAAGCATGGACTCTTTTAATTGTTTGTCTGTATGGTGCTGACTGAGATGATGAACAAATTGTACAAAGTGTGATCTTTTGCTCATTGCTTTAATGCCAATGTAATGGTTGAGCCTTACATGTTCTTTGGTTTCTACCCAGATGTGTGGCATATTAGACTTGCAAGTTTACTTGTGCTCTCTTTGTACAAAGCACTAGTTACTCATTGCCAAATAAAACAGAAATACAAAGTTTTGTTCTTGTAGCATTATATCTGTCTTTGTGTTTGACATTGATTTTGCCTGACTGGGAAGTGATGAATTCTACCAAGCCTACATATACCTGGTCATCTCCCCAGATCACAAGTGTCTGGACAAGTAGAAGAATAAATCATCAGCAGTGAGGCATATTCCATCATTTTTATCTCCAGAGTGGTAGTTCCCAAACTGTGCTTCGTGAATCCATTGAAGCGTGTGTTGGCTTGGTTGGGAGGGCGTATTCGTTGGGTGAGACTGCTTAGATACAAATGTTTGTGTTAGTATTATTTTAAGACTAATTCAGAAAGGAGGAGAGAGTGCTGCTCTATTTTTGAAATGTTCAGTATGACATTCTTGTTTATGAAGCCATGTAGACTTGTAGGTACATACCAGTGTTTGTCTGTGGGCTATGCTGCATCAGGACCCAGAACCACATCATCACCATTCTCACTGCTCTGAAAACCTAAAATCCCACGTTTCAAATACGTAGTTACAATAATTAATTTCGTTTTAGAAGGGAAATTATTTGTCAATTGCCATATAAAGGTACAATTGCTTGGAACTTGGATGATCAGTTGTTGGTCTGGCCAGGAAGGAAGAAATCATGGGAAGAAGAACATTCATCATTTTATTTTATGTTTTGTTTATTCTGATTTTACAACGGATTTTACGGATTGGCGAAGTTTGGGAATTGCCAGTCTAAGAGTCTTTGGGTTGCGTGTGTTGGAATCGGGGAATTTGGGGCATTTGTTTTAAGCGTAGACATAACGGACTCGCACCTTCGCAGTGACATAATAAGAAGGATCAAACTGGGTAAGACCATGAATAATGACAGTGAAATGAATGTGGCAGAAAACTTATCATCATGGATATTACTGCAACCTACACAGAAGAAAATAAACCTTAGTATTTCATTCTGCATAACAGTTGCTTCACAAAAATTAAGTAATGTAAAGTATGAATCATAGTGTGTTAACATATATATATTTGAGTAATCGTCTGTCGGATTGCTTTGTGTCGGGACTTTCGGCAGAACCTGCCTCATTTGCTTAGTCAGATCTGGCAGGTAGAGTTGAATAACAGTTACATAATTTGATGCTGTACTTTTGAAGCACGTGTTGAGTTTATGCTCTTCTGTGTGTTTGGGAGTTGTGTTAGTGTTGGCTTATCAGTTTGTAAAGAGCATTTACTAGTGTAAGATCACACAGCAATGTAAGAACACCAGACTTCTTTCTGCTCACTGGATGTCTTAGTGAGGAGATGTTTGCCATTTCACTTCACTATAGACATTCATGGTGTGACCTTTTTTGTTATTCTTATGTTTTTGTGGGTTGTTTGTAATCCTTGTAAGTTCTCTGTCCTATGTCACCTGTTTCACACAATCTTAAATCAGTCTCTTTCTTAAAATAATGCCCTACTGCTTTGAGATTTTTTCTTTTACAAAGCTTTATTCCTAAGACACATTATAGTGCTGATGATACATTTGACTGGTATATAACAGCTCCACTCATCTGTTTCATTTTATATAAGATTTGAAAATTAACTTTTTACTGTATTTTGAATTGTTTCTTTTTTCCCAGATTTCTGTGCTATTACTTTTAGACTGTTTGTATTCTGTTAGCATCAGCAGATGACTTGAGAAGAAATTCTTCCGTAACATTCACAGCATGAATGTGTGCATTTTTCAATGAGTAAAGCTTACAATATCAACGTGGAAGGAAAAAAGGGTATTTTATTATTCTGTCCAAAATGAATGCATATAGAAGTTGAAAGAGGAGCAGAAGAAAGAAATGCTGTATCTGAATCACAAGAGTTGAGACAACTTGTTCTGGAAGCAGAGCGATATGAATATTGCTCACACTGTTCATTTAATTTAATTTATGTTATAGAATTTACCTGTATTGAAGAGAAACTGGAGTTGGCTTTGATAACTGAAAACCTAGTCAAGCATTACACTGAAGTACCAATTGTTTACAAAAAGAGTAACCTCTATGAGATATCTGATTTATGTTGATACCCTTTGATATTCAGATGGCATTTTACTACATTTTAAGTGAGTTAGTTTGTGAGGTTAGGGAATGGTTAAACCTTGAGAAGTTTAAAGTTAATTACCTTATGTTTGAAAGAAAGTCACCTCCGTCTAGTGCTAAGGTTAATGTGTGGAATTACATTTCCACTTGATGTGTCTTGGAGGAGTAGGCTTAATTAGCACAGGGATAACCAACAAAACTTACTATGTCCATGTTTCTTTCTACATGCCCTGCAGCTCAGTGCTACATATATTTTATTTCTCAATCTTAAATATTTGACATTCTGTGATATACCACATGTCTTATGAAGTGAGGTACAGAGTAGGAAAGTTTGGCTGTATTATCCAATTGCAAATAATTTATTACCAGTATAATGATTTCAACTATTGCAATCCAGCCAGGAAATTAATTGTTTCGTCATTTTACTTTCAGAAGAAAATAGCATCATCTACATCAAGACTGGCTCTTTGGAGCAAAGTATTTGGGAAAAGCTGATAGCTTGTCAAGATATTTCTACCTCTTATGGAATCTGAAGGTTCCACCAATGGCCCCTATCCTAAGACAGTTAAATCCTTCCCACCTATGTGATTTTTATGGCAATGGGGGACTTGAAGCTCCCATACTTGAGGGCTTCCAGCTGGAGCTAACGGTTTGGTGGTGTTCTACTGTGATACATGATCAGCTGGATCTTGGGTGCTAATGAGACTGCAAATGAAGATCAAGTTCCATTGTAATATTCTCCGATGTGTGTAAAATTTTTGCTTTCATTTCACTCGGTTATTGTTGGCATTCACGTACCTGGGACATGAAGCCAGTAGTAGAGAAGGGAAGGTTCATGCCATTCTTAACCTTTGTACTGGGTGGGAGGTGAATGGTCAGCTTCATGCCCTAGCAGCTTTTAATCCTGGCAGAAAGGTTTGCTGTACCCAATCAATGGGAAGTTAGTTGGACCCCAGAGCTAGTCTAGATGTGAAGGTTAGGGGGATAGTCAGGATTTCTGAAAATTTAAAGTCTGCTTACAAGAGAAAACTGGTTGTATTGATAGACAAGGAAAGCAATGTTTCAGATCATAAAGTGAAAAAACATTGGAATTCTAAAACCGATATGTCTAGATTCTCGAAAAACGTACGTAATAGTTGTTGGGAATTGTTTGTAAATACCTCCCATTATGCTGCCAGGGATTAAAAAACTTGGCAGTTTAAAATGTGGTAGAGGGTAAATTGTAGACAGAGCCTCTACTGGATATTATGGTAGAGAAGTCAGCTTTTCCAATTACTATGACGGAGCGAGTTCAAGCGTTCGTCTGGATAGGATGTAGTTGTCAATTACAATAAATCATATGGATGCTTGTAGTTTTGAATCCTTTTTTTAATCTATGTTAGCTACATGTCAACAAATCTGACATCGGGTCAGATATAAAATAAATTAATACCAACACTGAACGTTGCGTCTGTGGTGGTATTTAATCAGTCGTTGCATGTGATCAGATGCTGATGTGTAAGGATGTCGGGATAAGTTGTGATGCCAGTTTTGTTTAGAATTGCATTGATTCGTTGTAGTGTTTATTTAAAATGTGCTGTTCTGTCAAGAGTTGTCTTTTTGTGACTTTTGATAAATTGATTCCACTATGATCAACTGTCGGAGATGAATATATGTGTAAGTAAATATCTGGTAAATACGTTGTTCCTGTCGTTGCCTTCAGTGTTACAGGACCTTTGACACAATTGAGTGACATTTCTTCAACAATTTTTATGCTTTAAAATATTAGAATAAGAATGAATGAGAATAGTTAAATTGTATGTCTTCCCACGTATTTTGGGGATTAAGTGAGGTTAGGTAAATCAAATGAATTTGTTATTATTTGTGTTGTTTATTTGGAAGTCGAACGGAACAAACTATGTTTTGAGGATGACAAATTGAGAGAAACTGCATTATAAACAATTAGATTAAGCACTTTCATTCATGCTTTTTGTGGTGGCCCTCGATCTTGAAAATCCGCTTCAAGCATTTTGACCACTTCACATTTCTGCGCTTCGTCTTCTTTTTAAGTCTCTTTAGTTGTATTCATATTGTATTTTAACACACTCCATCATATATTATTTAGTTATTAACAGACCCACAAATGTTTACAATTATCTTCAAATTCACAGTCTACTTATTACTTTTCATGCTCATTTCTTTTCAGTTATTTGCAACACTAATCAACCTCTTTATTTCCACCACAGTGTAGCTTCATTCTGTGGCCATTGGCAGATGTAATATTCAGTGAATCCATGACTTTGTGTAGAAGTAATGCAATCCTTTATTTTTCAATCAATAGGCTAACATTTTGTATTTCCTCATAGCGTATTGCGAGTAACTGGTTGTTGTGTTGTTAAGGTATGCCACAGTATGTCCAGATATGAGAAAAATGCTTATTTAAACTTAGTAAATACATAACTATCGCTGTAGTGTAAAATGTACCCATAATTTATATTCCTGTTAAAGCTACATGTTATGTGCAGGTGGAAGGGGCCCTGCAGATGTGAGGCTTTGTAAAATCCAACATGTGCCATCACATAGCAGGTAAGCAGCACACGTGGTCTGTTTACATTAATCCTTTAAATCTGAAGGACATCTAAATAGAATTTAAGATTTGAGTCCTTACCGCAAAGAAAACATAACACTTCACCATTACAAAGATCAATTGGTTAATGCTGTTTAAGGAAATAATCAAAGTTTACAGTGAAGCACCTAAATACAGAATGAAGAGTTACTGATTGTTGAAACAGGTGGTACATATAGTTACCACTGTGTTTGAAAGCTTCAGTGGTTCCTAGACATTTTAATTTTTTCTTAACGCCAGCTAACTCAGAGGATAGTTCTACTTAGGAAGGTGATAGTTCCTGATCTAATCAAATTTCCTGCCATTTATGGAAACTGAGGCTTCGTGGCTGTGTTCAGTGAAACCTGCTGAAAATGGAACCCGGATAAAATTAAAATGTAATCTTCATACTTGTCACCATTAGAACCTGAGGTCTCTGATAATTTTTAGTTAATTTGGTGGGACTGGGTTTATATTAAAGGCCCCAGTGTCTATGGCAATGATGTCCAGTATGAAGTTCATGTCGTGATTGATTTCAGTTGGTTTTTGATTCAGATGTTCTTAACAGTAGGTGGTAGATGTATGCGTGAATGTGGGCGTGGCAGTATCATAAGTATCACTTATCATTAATGTCTTCAAGAATTTCTTATCGTCCTTGTTCCAGTCCAATACATATGTGATTGTCATTTATAAGTACATCCTGTTTCTTCCTTCGCCATTTGTTTTGGGTCTCATTCTTTGTATGTGGATTTTTCTGATTTTGTCGTATTATTTGCCTGTGAAGTTTACCTCTTCTCTGGTTCTGCAGGAATTCATAGCTTCTTCATGGAAAATGTTGTGTGCTCATAGACACGGCTCCTTATTGACATAAACATCGGAGGGGAAGATGAGAAGGGTCGGCAGGTTTTCTTCAGCTGCATTGCGTATTATAGCTGTTGTGTATTATTTGCTTTAACATTTCACACCTGCAGTTACATAAACCCAATAAGTGTTTCGCTGTCTCTCTGCTTGAACAGGTTGATGTGATGGTAAAAATTTAGGCTCATGTTTAGTAAAGTAGAACCATCTCACTACACGCCATATAGGTCGTTTGGTATAGCTCCTGCTCTTTGTTGATCTCGGCACTAGATGGGGGTGAGTGGTCGGCATCACGCCCCAGCCGTGCTTTACCCCTCCCGGGAAAGGACCCCGACACCCATTGTGGAGGAGGCTGGGTGGGCCCCAGAGCCGGTCTGGACGCAGGGGCTAGAGGAAAAATCCTCTGCCCTGGTCGGGGATTGAACCCCAGTCGTCCAGCCCATAGCTAGTCACTATACTGACTGAGGTATCCTGGCTCATGTTTGGGAGATACCTGGTTTGAATCTCGGCTGGGTTGATGGCTGTCATGAGTGTGGCTTTTATACATTTTCTGGTGAATCCCAGGCCATACCCACCTCCTTCCAGATCCCAACAGTATGTAACTAAGTAACTGACTGATTTCATTAAGCAGCCTTTCTTTGAGAAGGAAACAATATTTTAGGTAGTCAAGAAATTCCTTTTGTGGAATCCGAAGGTTAGTTACTGTGCCAGATGAATGCAGTCTGCATCCTCCAACACCGTTGCCCTAAGATCCTTTTTTTAATATTATCAGTCCTTGAACTTTCACCATTCATAATCATCTTTCTCCACCTGTCTCGTTTCTTCCTTCACTGAGCAGCATGCATAGTATATTTCGTGTGTGTATCAATTTGCGATGACTGTTCGTGTCTTCTTATTCAGAAGTAGCAAATAAATTGATATCCTAACACTGATTACAATTTGTGAGATTTAAAGTTCTCAGTTAGGCGGTGAGTATGAAGGTTACTGTCTTCTTGTGCTTAGTGTCAAGAATGCTTGGTCTGCTTTATATATTAAATATTGGCGAAGACTGTACATTTTTAGTGGCATTGTGACCTTGCTCTGATAGTGTGAAATGTCAGAAGTGATGAACTGTTTTACTCGACATCCTTCCTTCCTGATTTGCAAAATGTCTTACCCTCTTCAAAGCAATATGCTTGATAATTAAATAAAAGGCTTTATTTCCTCGGTATTTATTTAATGGACGCTTAGGAACTGCAGAACCACACACCAGCTTTGTTTTTGTGAGGTTTTTTGATGTAAAAACGTTAGGAAAATGTGAAAGATCAATATCAATGTGTAAATATGGACCGACAGCAATGGTCAGCTTTTATATGAACTCCTGCGTGCATTGTTATGTTACCTAAGATACTAATTGTTACGTCATCTGTTCACTCGGTAATGTTGTGTTACATTACTGCCGTCAACAATCCGCATTCTTTATTGTGGAAAGAGCTGAGCTGTGAATCGCTTGTAGAAGAAGTGCGTCGTAGAGTAGATAATTTTTGTGCTGGTAGAAACGTTTTAGAATATCACAAGTACTTATATAAGAATTATTACATTACATTTCATTACATTACAGAGACGTATTTACGTCAGATTCTCCGGAACCGTGGTTCCACTGTCAACTTTTTTGTCGTTAACCATTTTAACGTTACCATGGATACCATTAATAAAGCAAATTAAATGTAGGCGGCCACCTCTGATCTACACACAAAATAGATTTCATCTGGGTGTGTAATTTTTATATATTGTTTCTTGTTGGGTGAAACGCAAGGAAGTGGTTCCAATAACAGTCCTTTTGAACAGCATTAATCAAGAATGTAATTTGTTGTTTTTGCAAATGAGCAGCTGTTTACATTGTACACGGATCCTTCTGCGATGAATTAAACGATGACGCGGAGAGTCAGTCAGGTGGTAGCACAGATGGTATTCCATTGTTGTGGCGCTGAACGCTCTCATTGCGTTGTGTTCTTGAGGTAGTGGAGCTCTGCTCCGAGATGGATACACGCCAAAGCGAGGGCAAGATGTTGTTTCTTGGTATGTGTGACAAATTGTATCGTCTTAATCGGGTAGAATATGTTTGCGAAGTTTGAAGGCGTGTAGTATTAAGGACCAAGTTCTCGACGAAGATGGCTGTCTTCTGGGATGCCGCGCCGTGTAGTGTGGTAGAAGTTTACCGACGTTTCATAGGTCGTTTCTGCCTCCATCATTAGGCTGGTTGCCCATGGTCTGGGTTGAATCTGGAGATGGAGACAGTGTGTTTCTCGGAAGGTATATACGAACAAGTTAACACGTCGTCACAACCCGGAGGAACAACATCGGCTTCTCCACCGCGATCTGACGGACCTCACGAGGCAGATGCAACCTCCAAAACTCCACTCACCATTCTTGGTCAGAAAGTGAAATATTTCTGGAACGTTTTGGATCAGGCCCCAGAGCGTGATTCCAGACTGGGGCACCGGAGGTGTCTTATATCGTAATTTCTCCCCAGCACCGGAGTCAAACTACCGGCCTCCTGTCGAATGTACTCTTGCAGAGAAGTGACCGGAATGTGGTACTGATCGGACGTTTCAATCTGGTGCAGGTGTTGAAAATACCTGGAGCTTATCTCCACGTCTTGTACACGCGTCATGACGTACAGGTTTCTTACGTTTCCGTCTAATTTTTGTGTCTAGCCTATCTTGTCTTTGTGGTGTATAGGTATAAAAAAATAACAGGCTTTAATAGCTCAAAGATGAGTTTGCTCACGAAGCTCGCTGAGCTGTGTGTTCGCGAGTCGGGACTTGATTTTCAACAGGTGTGATGGGATTTTTATTTTACCACGGTGTCGAAATGTCTCCGGGACCCACCAAGCTTACCATCTGTTTGGTGGCTTCCTGACCTACTCAGGGAATAAACCTGCCGGAGCCTGAACTTAATCACATAAATATGACTGAGGTCTTGAATGTATGCATGTGTGGTACTTAGCACCGGGGTAACTTAATCATACTCTAATATGAAAGTATTGTGTCGGGATTGTTTGAACATGTTTCTTTTGCGCATGTGTCATGATTCTCGAGTAGTTGTTAACCAACAGTTTATTTGTGACTTACACCATTCATCAGCACCTGCATTGCAAGGGATGACAGAAGGTTGTGTAATGAGGTTACAAAACTTTCAGTTATACATTTGGGTTCTCTTGTGGTACACGCTAATAGAAGGCTTACTTGTAGTACAGCATCTGCATGGGGCGGCAACTATGTATCTGTTATTTTCTTTCGGGCTGGCTCTATTCTTGCCTCGGTAGGTACGTAAAATTTGTCGCTCTGGACGTTAATAGTGACAGTAATGATGATGATGATAAATGTTTCAGGAAGAATGTGAAGTTTTGTGGAAGTGATACTCCAGAGATTGATAACAGAAATCCTCCATAGTAGATAACAGTTCATTTTAAGAAATATGCTGAAATCGGAAGTTTGAAATGTTAACTGCTGGGAATCATCTCTTCTCTAAGTGAAAACCAGAGAATAAACACCTCAGAAGAAGGAATAATAATAATAATAATAATAATAATAATAGCAGAGCGTAATAATTATAATAGTAATATAAAGAGAGAGAAACAGTTTTTGTTTTAGGTATATTAGAGCCCCTGAAGACAACATTGGCTTTTAATAGTAATGATGATGATAATGTTAATGGTTTATGGATTATACAGCTTAATATCTGTACTGCAGGTGGTGGTGGTGCTGTGTATCCAAAGGTTCATCACCACCACAACAAAATTTATCCTTTTAACCCTACCCTGAGCCAGCTTGTTTTAAATGTGTGCTTTGGACTTGTGAAAGTCAAGACCTTGAAAACCCGATGCTTCCTGCTACATATGTGTTATCACTGAAGTTTGTTGATAACTTCATGCTGACAGTTCCATGGCAGGACGAGCTTATGCTACAAAGTGTGTGTGGAAGCATGCCTTCTGTGGGTAAGTTCTTCCGTTTCCAATGTGGCTTTTCTGTGCTAGGACTGAAATAAAATCATTTCTAGTAAATTGTCGGACAAGCTGTATTTAAATGTGGTAATGTTTGTTAATTGGTGACTGACCAAGCTGAGAAGACAATCGACTTTTAGAAGAATATACTGCACCATACAGTGAGCGTGTAAGTGAAATGGTGACTGAAATAAAATATGTCAAATACGTAAGAACATTATGTGCGCTGTGTTACATACAGAAGCTTGCACAGAACTTGCCTTTTAAGTGTTTCCCATGCAATGAAGTCATACTGTTTGGAGATTTTTCATATGCATTATTAAAGTTGAATTTTTAGCATCTCCATGCTGTGTAGTATCTGTTCTGTTGCTTACCTCTGCCATAAATTGATTTATACCGATAACTAAACGAACATAAAGAATGGTGTTGGATGCAAGATCTCATAAAATTCCAGTTTGAGCACTTCTTGTGTCTTCTTTGTAATAATGAAATTTCAGAAGGCTACCTGTATGACCTTCAGGACACATTGTCAGACTGCAGCTAGTGTTTTACAGGGCCCACAGCACTGAGTTTGGTACAGCGCTAACAAATCTGTCTCAACATTCGTGGAAGTTTAAATGGGTAATTACCCACTCAGGGCATGTGTTTCGGACACACAGTGCTTCTTTTCTTGTTGGGTGATTTGACTTTTTTTTCAAAGCATTTCTATTTTCCTCCACAGTTGCCTACAATGTTATACATAAGTTTACACAAAAATTATGACTTGATTTTGCTAGAAGTTTCACTATCTAAAAGTTGTTTGCTTAACTCTTTTGACAAGTTTGCACGCATATAGAAGAGGGCAGAGTGGAATATGCATTTTGACCAAAGGTTTGTAAATTTACACTGGCACTTACACTTATGTCTCTTCGGTTTTAAGTTGATCCTTTGTTTTTTGTTCTAATTAATTTTTTAGTCTGCTTTTTAGATTTTCTGATTGTGAATAAACTAAATTCAGACTTCCATAATAGTTTCCTTTGGAGACAAGACTGTACTTAGACATGCACATGAGGTGCTAGCCTGGGGCCCCGCAGATGTAGGGACCCCCCAATAAAGTTAATTTTGACAAATAATAAAAAACAAAAAAACACGAATTTTACTATGTAAAAATTGCAGTGATAAATATCAGGGTCATGCAAAGGTACTTGAGGCCCGGGTGCAAGAAGAAATCGGGGTCCCCTTGCTTATTTGAGATAAGAAAATATTAAACCGCGCCGCAGTGAGTAAACCAAGTAAGGAACTAATTTATTTCTGAGTAATAAGAAAGGACATTACCAAAGTTCCAAAAATAAGTTTTATCGTGGAATTTGATAGTTAGAAAAATTAAGTTATCTCTGAGAATAATCTTATCATAGGTGCAGGACCTTAAATGTGTTAACGTTAAGAGTTTATAAACTTTATATCAGTTTCTAGAAATGAATTTAATATTTATTTCACAATTGAATCTTGCCTCATATGCCATTAACACTGCGCTGCACATTCTGGAGGCATCGATTCTTGGTCTGAACGCCGACAGTCTTGACGAGTTTCTTGTGGTTTTCTTCAATATTTTCAGAGAAATGCTGGTTGAGTACTTTAAAATGGGCTACATACACTGCCTTACATATCCCCCCCCCCCCCAAATTCATGTTGACAGTCATCCTATCATTTGTGCCATAAAACATATGAAGTTGAGAAAGTGTCATTAAATAAATTAACAGGTAGCATTTTATATGGAATACTTCTCCTTAATGGAAGCAAGCAATCAAGAAAGATAGAATGTCGAATCATCATAATGTTAACCAGCTCTGAGTCACTTCAGACAGGAGGAGATATCACTTTCAAAGTAGGTTAGCTGATAAAACTGTTGACTGGTATTTCTTACTGAAGGTAGATAATATGACACCCTCCGAGATTCAGATAGCAGCTGAGCAGTTCAGCCATACAGGAAACTTTTACAGATCAGTCATTGGAAGACAGTATCCTCAGTTGCAGCAGACACGTGCACGATAGTGAACATACGTCTTCTTTTCTGTCTGTATATCCATCTGATTTTTAAGTCTGTGCGCGATATTCATTTGTAATAGCTTCAATATGTTAACAGGTATTGGACTTGGGTTTGGAAGGTTGGAGGTCACTGTTCAACAGCACATTTTGAGTTACCTTTGTTCATTTCTTATTGTTTCAGGGCTGTTCAAGCCAGTAGTGGGGAAAACATTCATATTGACACTGGTGATTGGAATATCATTTGGTTTTAGCTTTGCATACATCCTGATGTCGACCACTCGTTCCTTCGAGGAGTTCTCATTTTCCCCACCCAGGTACAGTAGCCGACGGATAATAAATATTTTGACGTAGGATGATCTTTTACGTGCATAAGGTTAAAAAGCTGTGGAAAATGTGAACTGTGCTGTTTAAAGATGTGCTTCTTCTTTTAATAGTCTTATCAAGCGTGATTGACTCATGTAATGCTTTTCTCTTGTATTTAAGGGTACCAGATTCAAATTTTAGCCAGGGTACCATTTGTACTAGTTTGTTTCAAGCAAACTCAAGCTGGGACACCCCCCCCCCCCCCCCCCCCCCTCCCTCCCCCCGCCATGAATCATTCATTGTACTGACAAATGCTTTACACCGCTTTATCGCGACGAACATCGTCATCTTCCTGTTTCTTCTTGCACACGTGCGCAAGCAGTGGAATCGCAGTTGGCCGGGAAACTGTGGCAAATTCCGCCAGTTCGACTCCTGACAAGGACGTTCCCCCCCCCCCCCCCCAATCTTCGCTGACTTACTGTTTATATTTATCCTTGTGTCTTGCACCATTATACCATTATGAAAAATGTAGAGTTGATATAGCATTATTAAATAACTATGACACTACCTAATGCATTCTGTCCCTGTCAGGAAGTAGACCTCAGTCATCTGACCTGTGTGTGGTCATAGATACAAGTGTAAAGTCAGAATAGAAACTTGTTTCTTGCAGGACAGAAAACATCTATATGGACCGCCATCACCACAGCGACAAGGAATACAACCAGGTACCAGACGTCAGGGAAATGGGTAGTCATGGTCACGATGAGTTGCATCACAGAGGTCAGTATGGGCATGCTGTGAATCCTGAACTGTTGTTAAGTACCGCAGTTGTATTTTTCATCAGTTCTGTTCTAGAAAAATGTTTTGTAGCCTGATCTGTGGCACTCGCAAGATCAGTTTGATACCTGGGTAAGAGAAAAAAAGCTTATAATGGAAAGGTTATTGGAAAACAAATATGTATTGCTTGATTTTTCATGAAATTTGGCTGCAGAATGATAAAGTTTGAGAACCATTGGTCTAGATTCGTCATGCATTAAAATAATCTTCAGTGGGTCAGGTAGGTCTTGGAACCTAAGAGCTGTATGGAAATCCAGCATCTTATCCTTCCTTCTGTTCCAGAAATCGTATTCTATATTCTTTGTAACTAGTTTCCAAGAACGTTGTAGGTTTGACTTTGTGTTTTGGTACATTCATGTAGGAGAGGATGTGGAAGCTAAGAAGTTGGCGAAGAAAGTGCGGGTTCTGTGCTGGATCATGACGAATCCTAAAAACCATGAGACGAAAGCTGTTCATGTGAAAGCTACGTGGGGAGCACGGTGCAACATTCTGCTCTTCATGAGTTCGGAGAATGGCAAGTACAATTAACCCATGACAGTCAGGTTTCTCACTAAACAGCTTACCCCCCTAGGTCAGATTTTTGCAGAATATTAAAGAGAAGGTGCGTATGTCTTGCTCTCTCTCTCACGTTCACATTGAAACTGCTCATGTCTTGCCACAGTGTTCCTCACAGGTTATGACAAAAAAATTACTTGATGATGTGTCAAATATCCCATTTTTCCCCAATTAAATACATTTAAAAATGTAAATATTTTAACGATAAATTGCGGTATGTTTTACAAGAAATAGTGGCATATTTTGTCTTGTCTTCTTCTCAAACTACATGTCTCATAACTTGGACTATCTGTCATGCGCATTGTCTGCCCCTGGGGTTTTCTTCTGCTCGTCTTCATTTCCATTAATATTTTTGGTATTCTGTGTTGATCCATTCTTTCAACACGGTATACTATATCATACCCAAAAATATAGATCGCTTTAATGAGCTTAAAAGGTTATTATCCTTGATAAATGATTCCCCAGGTAATGAACATGAAACAGCTAGTAAAAGTAACAACACTGCAGGAACCATCATTGCTGACGTGGTAGTGGAACGGTTAAAAAATGCGCGGACGTGAAATATTTATTTTATTGGTATGAAGTTGTTTTCCTTTGAAACATGAGTAACTTTACCTTCTTGATGAGAGTTCAGATGTTTGTCACATTTATTACTGGTCTAGCAGTTAGAACGCTGGCCTTGTAATCTTGGGGTCTCGGGTTCGATTCCTGGCGGTGCCCGAATTTATAACTTGTGTTGGGCAAGGCCGTGGTCTAGGCAACACGGAGTTTTCCTCCGTGGCATCCCAACAATTACTCCATTCACACACAGAAGAAGGCAATGGCAAACCACTTATGGATCATCTGCCAAGAACGTATATGAACAGATCCCAGTCCGAGAAAAGGATGGAAGAAGGATCCTGTTCGGCTTTGTAATCCTGGGGTCTCGGGTTCGATTTCCGGGGTGCCCGAATTTATAACTTGTGTTGGGCCAGGCCGTGGTCTAGGCAACACGGAGTTTTCCTCCGTGGCATCCCAACAATTACTCCATTCACACACAGAAGAAGGCAATGGCAAACCACTTCTGGATCATCTGCCAAGAACGTATATGAATAGGTCCCAGTCCGAGAAAAGGATGGAAGGATCCTGTTCATATGGACCTGTCGTCAGACAGAACACTAAATAAATAAACCTCTAAGAAATGAAAGCTGTTATTTTTCAGACACATCATTACCAACAGTGAAGCTTCCTGTGCTGGAAGGACGAGACTATCTGTGGAGCAAGACGAAGGAAGCATTTACATATTTGTACAAACACTATTTCCAGGAAGCAGATTGGTTCTTCAAGGCAGATGATGACACGTAAGTTTCCTACAGCAACTCGTGAAAGGATGAGATTTGAAGTTTTCATGGTGGTGAAAATTTGGATTGTGGTTTTGTAGGTTACGTTACCTTGCAGTTCTGTAGCTAGTCACCAAGATTTCAGAGAAAAATATCACTTCTATTTTCAGGGTAGAAGACCAGTGTTTTATTCCACAGCCAAACTTTTGAACATATTAAGTAAAGTCACAGTAGAGTTTATTAAGATAGTGTAGCCATCAGGTATTTGGGCATTCATGTGAGGAAAATTCACGTGTAAAGGAGGAATAAGAAAGTTCAGCCGTAAGAGGTTAAAGAAAGACAAGAAAAGCAGTGGAAGGATTAAAGATGGCAGTCTTGTGGAATGTTTCACTCTTTAGCTTTATAGAAATTGACTTATGTTTCAGAGGAGCTCTGATATCATTATCACCTTGATAATGGAAGCAGTAAGCTGCTCTGAAACATTGGTCAGTATCTACCAGACTACATGGCTTGTTTAAATTTAGATTTATATATATTTCTTTTAAGGGTTTTCATAGCGGTATCGGTTAATTACTACATTTTTCACATTGAAGCACACGGTATTGTTTTGGAACAAACTTCTGCCTTCCCAGAGGTAATTTCTGCCTCCATCTTCACTGTCTTCTTTGTTGTATTTCCTCACAGTTCATTATTGTACTGCCCCTCAGGTATGCAATAGTCGAGAACCTTCGCTATATGCTGTCAACATATAATGCCTCTGACCCCCTGTATTTTGGGTGCCGTTTTAAGCCGTACGTGAAACAGGGCTACATGAGTGGAGGAGCTGGTTATGTTCTCAGCCAGGAGGCACTGAAGCGCTTTGTAGAGCAGGGGATTCCCGACAAAACTAAGTGCCGACAAGACCATGGTGGGGCAGAAGATGTAGAGATGGGTGAGTCTTGATTTCCTGGTTTCAGGCTGGTATTCTAAATAGCTAATTCCTAAATGTTATTTTAACTCAGAAAGGATGAAGCACTTGCCTTGAAACAAGATCCCATAGAGACATCAGCAGAGGCTAAGTATCATATTTTATTAAAGACTGAAGTTTACTTTCAGAACCACCTAAATATGAATGTCATTTCTGATTATGTGTTGTCATGAACATTTTTTTGATATTGAGGTAGTTGTTGCCAGTTCACATGTTCTAGACCTCAGAGAAAATCTCAAAGGAAAATACAAGTTGGGAGACCTTGGTATACGTGGGGTTTCAGCGAACTAGGATGTGAACTGAACCTATTCAGAATAGACAGGCTGTCTTGAACTTGATAATGCACCTCTGGGTTTTATAATGAGACCCTTATTGTGGTTAAATATGGTCACCAGTTATCAGTGTTCAGCAGCTCCAGTTTATAATTGCGTTTAGCTTTCAGTTGTGCGTTTCAGCTCTCTGTTTGCCAAGTGTTAATTTTTAATAATCTTCTCTGAACTCTGTATCGTCTAGCTAGGACACCTCTTGACGTGGACAAAATACATGGTTATGTGAGCATCATTACTCTGTAAATTGCCTCATACTTTTAGAGCTTTCACATTTATGCAGTTTTTCCTGAGTATTACTTGGGAATTAAAGGTTTGTTACTGTTCTGATTACAGGAAAGTGTTTGGAGAACGTGGGGGTAAAAGCAATGGATACTCGTGATTCTTTGGGTCGCGGGAGGTTCTTTCCTTTTGTGCCAGAACATCATCTAATTCCTAATCATGTGGATCCAAGTTTCTGGTACTGGAAATTCATTTATTATCCCTCAGAATTGGTAAGTAGGTCCGTACTCCTAATAATATTGAGCTCAGTATTATCTTCCTTGGAGCCACGGTAGCTCAGTATAGTGTCTGACTATGAACTGAACAATTAGAATTTAATCTCTGGCAGGGGAAGTGGATTTTTCTTCTAGCATCTTTGTCCATACTGGTTCTGGTGCTCAGCCTCCTATCCAGCGGGTACTAGGGGGTCTTTCCCCCTGAGTGGTTAAAGAATAAAATTCTGGCAAACGCGCCACAATTGTTGTGTTATGCATGCAGTTCTTTACTTAAGTTTGATTCACAATGATAATCATCATATCTTACGTAGCAATGTTCCGATTACTTAATTTAAGATTTTTTTTTTTTCCAGGGTATGGGGTGCTGTTCTGATACTGCCATATCATTCCACTATGTATCTCCAAGTCAAATGCATGTGCTTGAATATCTCATCTATCACCTGCGACCATATGGAATTTCTCATAATGTCATGACGTCACAGTTACCAGAACTGCAAGCAGACTCTACAGCAGGTGTAGTCAATGTCACAGAAGGGGCAAGCCTGAGTCGCAGGTCTGAGGAAGAGAGGAAGACTGAAAAAGCCAAAGAAAACTCTTCTAAATTAGGATCTTAGATAAGTTAGTATAAGTATGCATTTATTTTACATAAATTTGATGGCTTTATAAACTGTAAAGCAAGACATCCCATATCTATTGTTACCAAAATACGTGCACGGACGGGGAAGAACAATGTTACAGGGGTGACGTTGAACGTTTTGTTCTTACTGATTCTTTTACATTAACAAATGGATGTGATAGTCAACTTTTATCTTTCCTTTGATGTGTTTCGGTTCTTCCTTCTGTCATTGGTTTTAACCTTTTCACTCTTGCTGTTTGTTAGCCGCCAGACTGTTGAAATTTGAGCGTAAGTCAAATATTCTATCCTTGTGTGTATGTGCACATGCATGTGTTGTGTGTGTGTATATATATATATATATAATTTGGTGAGGAGTGGTGTATCTCAGCTTATTGTAGGGTAGAGTTCCTTTTTGGGGGGATTTTCCCATTCAAGGCTTCTGTCTACACAGAAAATAGAAGAATGCAGATACTCATTCATGTTTTTAAGTGGGATTTCAAACCTTGATCCCAGTGTTTTAGTGATCCAAGACATACAAACCCAAGTCTGTGGCCACTGTGATGTGTATCTTACAAATTGATTTCTTAAAGTCATTGCGTTGTCTTACGGGTGCAGGAAAGTGTTGGGTCTCGTACTTCCTACATCAGGGTTGCAGTAATAGGCGTAAAGTATGCTTAATAATAGTGATCTCTTAACCATAAGAGTGTGTGATTGGTTCTGTGTGAGACTGGTCTGTTATTAGAACAAATCAACTGGTGTATCAGAAGTTCTGAAATTATTGTTTTTCCTGAGGAATTTCTAGAAACAAAAATATTGACGTTTTGCACTCTGGGTATTTAGTAAATTGGTATGACGCATAACAGTGAAAGTGTTGGGGTTTATCTCTCCTTTGTGTTTTCCTTAATCTTTCACCCGTCTAACTATGTAACTTACTGTACGAGCCTTTCCATTGAATGGACTGTTCTCCGATGGTAAGAGTTCCTGACAAGTTTGTGATATTCTGCTTCTCAGTGGCCATCATATTTTAATATTAAGTGAAACAGGCACACTGCAGTCAGCAGGTGTCTCGATGGCTGGTCCCGTTGCAACAAATTGAGCCTGTACTGTTTAAGAATAACAGCAGTATATAAGTGAGTTAGTAAGTAATTTAAGTGTTAATAATTGTTTTGTATATGCACTTCTTTCTGGAAGAATATCAATTTACAATACCACATATTTTTATCTTTGCCATATGCAAATGTGATTGTAAGTAGTGGAAGTAGTTTTATGCGAGTGTCCCTTACTTTGCAAAGTGCTCTTTTCGCTACATATTGTTTTTATGTTTCTTCTGTTAAGCAGGTAATTGTCTTTTATATGAACTGGAAGTTTTATTTTGTTTATCGGAATATAGTGCGCACTATTTAAATCAGGGATGGTGAGGTAGGTAGGATGTGTAGCATGCATGGGAGAGATGAGGAATGCATATAAGGTTTTTGGTTGGAAAATGTGATATGAAAAGATAGTCTAGAAGGCCTGGTGTATGTGGGAGGATGATATTAAAAAGAAATAAAGGAAATGGAGTGGGTGATGTGGGTTGGATTCATCTGACCAAGATATTTTCTGATGGCATGCTTGTATGATTACAATAATAAACTTCAGGTTCTGTAAAAGGCATGGAATTTCTGATAGCTTCTCAAGAGGGACTCTGCATTACACAATTATAATGAATAGTTTTTACTTTTTCAAAATACTTTCCAGAAAATATGCTGTGCACATTTATACTTTTGTTCTGCCTTAATTGTATATTTTTATTTTTTATCTCTTCATATAAGTTGACCTGGCATCAGTATAATACCATACACAACTGAAGTAGCAGCAGAATAAGGTGAAATTATGCTTGCATTGCTGTACGCTCACACAGCAAGCAAGATTTTTCAACTAACCAGTTCTTGACACTTACATAAAACCATGCTCTAATTCAGTCAATGAATCCATGGATTTATTGATGTAGTAGAAAGTCACTGTATGTGCCATATGAAAGTCAAAGGCGCAGTATTTAATAGCCAACCAGTAAAAACGTGACTGTTAAAGCAGTGGCTTGGATGGCGATTCTTTAATGGGCTGTATACTTAGCTCATGTAGAACAGTTCCAGTTGAAGTGTCAATTGAGGTAATTTCCAGGATTCATTTTTGGAAATTAAGGAAAAATGTAACAGATATAATGCATTTTTACTCTTCAACTGTACTCTGAACCCATCCGTTATTACTTGAATCTGGTTATGAAATATTGAGAAGTACTTTCTTCTTATCTGTATGAATGAAATGCTTCACAATGTTCAAACTGATACATGACTGCTTATAGCGAGACATTTGATAAGATATAAATCAAGGCTATTTCTTTTGATATATAGTAACTAGCATTGCAGCTGTAATCTTAAAAGTGTGCTGAGATTTGTGTAATCAGATCATTTAATGTACCCACATTCAAATCTAACTTATTGTAAGGTGTTAAATATTTTGAGACAAGTCAAAGTGTGTGTTCTTGTGTCCAGCTGACTGGTGACTAGCCAGAGTAGCTAAACCCGGTAAGAAGAATGTAATTGTGAGCACTGCTTTTGTGCTTTAGTCTTGATCCTTGTATGATTGACATAATTTTGTAATTGAAGTTACTGTGTAGTTTTAATTATGGAAAAGTTAAGTTTAACAATACAAAGCATTAATGCATGTTTTTGTATGAATATAATTTAAGTGTCAGTAATACCATCAACCTGTATAAAATGGAAATTAGCGAAGATGAAGAGAAATAATGTAAATTAGTGTAATCAGAAGTGCTTCATCTTATATTGTACCAAGCTCAATAAAATTACTGACATAGGTAACAGTGTAAGATGATGCTATTTTTACATTGATTAGTCAGTCTGCCATTTTGCCTTGCTGTATCTGTTTGTCCCATAACACTAATGTATTGGTATCTGTATTAAAGAAAAGTACAGGTACTGAACAAAATATTTAAAAAGATGAATTATGGTGGTCACTTTAATGGTCATACTTTTAGCATGTGATGGTTTAAAAAGTTGTATTGTATATTACAGAAAACGAGACTCACTGGCCGGGGAAGGGTTAAGATAAAGTGTGTGTGATTATGCTAGCCAAGAAGAATATGTCATTAATGGAAGTGTTCCATGTAAACAGTGCAGTTAACCAAATGGATACTCTATCATATTTAATTCAAAAACTGAAAGGTGGCTGATCATTTTCATGACATGTCAGGTGTTAAAATACGGAGCCCCAAAATCATGAATTTTACTTTTTTAATAACTTGTCACACTTTCTTCTATGGCGCAACAGCCTGAAATCGAGCCTTGGCCTCCTCCCATGTGGGAGGTGTTTATGTCTTTGAAGTGTGCATTAGTGAGTAGGGAGTGACATGCCCACTGCCAACTCGTCACATTTTGACTGGTGTGAATCGTTACTAGACAAAAGTCAAAATAGCTTACTTATTCTGCAATAAACATAGACCTAACATACTGAGGGCTCAGTTAATCCATTTGTCTACTCATCCGTGATGGGGCCAATAAGTGGTAAATTTTCATTATTTCTGTTGGACATTTTATTCGTGGAAATAATTAGAATTTAATTCTGTATATTGCATTTACTTTTATAATGCATTTTTAAGAAATTCTAAGTATGAGACAGCGTATTGAATTTGTCCATGACAGTAAAAGCATGTTTTTTTTATTCTGCCTTCTTCAGAGGTCAGATCCTTTTACTTTTCCTGACCTGGTATTATTATCATATAGTGGATCTTTTAAATATGTTGGGACTCCTTGAAAGGGGGATCAGCGTATTCAAAGGCCTTAACCATTACAACATAGCACACAAAAGCTGCGGACAGTTTCCAAGTCAGATTTTAATATTTTCTAATCTTTGTTACCAATGTGCAGGCAGCTTACGACAAATGACAATCTGCATGTTATTAGGGGTATCTTACAGTACTTGCTGGACTGTGAACATACGATGATGATTTTATTACTTGCCCGTGTTTGAATTTAGGGACTTAAATTCGTTGATTTCACAGAAGGGCAAGCCTGACTGTTGTAAGAATTGGCACTCAACATGGGGCAATAGTATGTATGTGATCTGGCAGTATTTGAAGAATTGTTTATGATTAAGAAAGTTGTTTTAAGTGTTGATGAAGCAAGCTCTCAAATAACGTTACTGACCTTTCACTTAAAAAATGTAATTAACATTATGTTATAAAAAAAATGTTAGAGAGAACTGCAGTGATTTTCTACATATCTCTGTAAAGTGCGTGGGGTCTAGAAATACTGGATAAAAATGTCTATGCTTCTGTAATGCAATCAAGGGAAGAATGTTAACCCCCCCACTGGGTAATACTTTTTTTATATTTGCAGGTTGATGTATGATAAAAGTTATATATAATGAAGGTGATGATTCTTAACCTTTATAAGTTAGCAAGTTAATGATAGAGGAAAGTTGTACAGTTTTGTTGGGCGCTACAGTCAAAGTGGAATTAAATCTAGTCTGATACATTTAAATGTTAGAACAGATAGTAAACTTACTTAGAAACTGAATAGTGTACGTCAGAATTCATTTGCATGTGAAAATTTTTGGGTGCCATGTAATTCCACAGTTCAGTGGGCAATAAGCTTTATAACTTTAAGTGTTGCAATTTTGTCTGTATGTACTCCTATAATTCACATTGCTTATTTCATTCTTTTGATTCTCTGAGATTTCCAAAGAATTTATATTACCTCTTACTTAATATCTGTAACAGAGATAAATAGTTATTACAGTCATGTAAGTTTTCAGTACACAGATGAAGTGGTCATTCAATGCTGTTATTTAAAGGGCATTTCAGGCTGACGTTCTGCATTGTAAATGGCAAGTTCTTGCCTTGTACCACTAGATAAATCTCATTGTAAGCAAAGGGTCTAAACTGGAGTTGAATTTGTTGTTTATCTTTGAGGTTCATATATAAAACATCCACATTAACTCTTTAATTTGTACAAGTTCTTGCCATCTGTTAGACCCTAGAAAGTGTGGTTCTGTTCACTTGTTTTATATTTTAAATAAATGATTAACTTGTCCCACAAAACATCTCATTTATCACAAGTCCATCTTCGTCGTATATTTGAAACTGGTAAGAATTTCACAAATTTTTATCGTGGTAGTAACACATCTGCTTTTCCTTCATGCTGGAAATCCTACAGAAATTATTTAATACCAACTTCATGACCACGTTCAGAACACCTGTGGGCACCCCCCCCCCCCCCCCCCCCCCCCCCCCCCCCCCAAACTCCTATTCAGCAGGTCCTGGTCACCCAATCCATAGTTTACATTCCCATTCTTAGAGGGGTTGAAAATTGCAGTGAAACTACAGAAAAATGACATTTCTGTTGTTGACTTGAAAATGTATTAATAAATTGTGTCCACTCAGCTGCATTTGTTAGGTGTTACAGAAGCAATATTCAGTTCAAATGCAGGAGGTACTGGGTTCAAATGTCATCCTGGAGATGTGCTATTCTCAGTTATGTTTTTCTTATGGTTTTCTTCAATCCCTCCAGGCTAATTCCAGGAACTAACTAACTAGATGGCTTACGGAACCCAAAGATTCACCACCGAATTAACCAAAGCCCTCCACTGGACCCTATCCTGGGCCAACAAAATCCAGTCTCCTTTAACTCCTATCTTCCATATATCTGACCTGAGATTATCCTCTCATCTATGTCTAAATTACAGGATAGTACCTTAGATCAGGCCACAACCACTTCCATATCCTTTTGTCAATCATCCTTTCATTCAGTGCTACATAGTTGAACCTCCCAATTACTATGAAAGAATGTGAAATACTTAGCTGAAACAATATGGTGAATAATTAGAATTGGCGATCTGATCTGTCTCATGTCAAAGTTCCTTTCTCCTGCCTGTTAAAATTACAATTTCAGGACCATACATGAAGAGCTGCTAGTGTTGCTGCCATCGTTTGGATGGCTGCTTTGGTGGTGCTGATGGTAGAGGAGTATTTGAACAATATAATAACTTCTTACAATGTTATGTTCTTACCAAGTTTCATGAAAACTTGTCAGTTGCTCAAGAAATTCTGAGGGAACACACACAAACATGAATATGTGAGCACAGTAACACCACAATCAACAATTTTTTGAAAAGAAAAATAGGTAGCATTCATGTGGATGATGTATTATATGAAATCATGAAGTTTGTTTATTTACAGAAATGGTAGCTAGACCAAGTGAAAGAGTGCATATTATGTTACTGATCATTGGGTTCTAGGTGGTATCATGATTTTACAACAGTTTCATATCTGAGGTAACATGTGAATTTTAAACTTTTGTTTGAAACATTAAGTGAAATAAGAAAAAAATATTTTACGTTGAAGAGTAGGTACCCTTCTTATCAACAAAGCTGGGGAGGGATGTCGAAAATTGACTAGTACTCTTCTTGCGTACACTGCACATCGCTGTTGTGTTTATTCGTAAAGTACGTAGATGGCTGTATAATAGGTTTCGACTGGTCGATAGATTGTAACTATTTAGTGCAGTTGAGGAGTTTAATGGCAAGTGGTTTGTAGTTGGACTATCTTCTTTTGGTAATGTAATACAAGTAAAATTTAAATACTAGAACTGCAATCCTACACATGGGTGGGCCAAAGAAGACCAAAAAAGATGGTAGGTTGGTTTTTTGAGTTTATTAAGGTTTGTTTTGCACCAAGTGGGAATAAGATTTTTGAGGTTAGGTTACTGTTTGGACGTCATTAGTTAGATTAAAATGGTATGAATTATATGGATTTCATATTTTAGGATGAAAGCTGTAGGGTCCGTTATGTCACAGTTCCTAAAATTAAGTAAGAATTATTATAAGAGACATCCTAACCTGGCTTTACTTATCCAAACCATTTTTAGGAACTTGTATCCCTTAAGTTTAGCAGCTTGCTGGCAATGTTAAACTTATCCATTAGCTATTACAGAACTTCACAAAAGTACATTTTCCTTTATGTGACTGCGAAATTCCGAAGGTGTGTACTTCAGTTTTCCATTGATTCGTTATGATGCGTATTGGTCAGAACGAAAAATATTTTAACCAGAAGTTTTGCAGGAAAATTAAACACATTTCATGCCCACTAGAGAAGAATGAAATATATTTTGTGGCCAGTATGGTTCTAGGAAATTGAATAAAGTAAGTATTGATGAGTTGGTAATCTGAGCAGTAATGGTATGGGTTCATTATAGTTATGATATTTACACATTTCCAAATTGTAGTTTTACTGAGTAGCCTTTTAGGTACAAATTTGCCATTGATTGCAGACAATAGCAAGAAATGGAAGAAGCGCAAAAGAGATGATGATGAGTATGTGTATGCAGAAGAAGAACTAGTCGATGTTGGTGATGGAGGTAAGTCATTTTGCAGTTATCAGGGTAATGAGTAAGTTCCAATGATTGAGGCAGTAAGCACATGTGAGATGTCTGTAAATTTTTACCGGACTACAAGGCACAATATTCCAGAAGACATTTTCAAATTATTTAGTGAATTAACCAGTAATGCTTTACCTGATGCATGATTGTATGGTGTCAAGGAGATCAAATAATGATTGGTTACAGAATTAGAGAGTGTTATGGAGGATAAATTTGTGGTCTATTTCAGAGTGCTTTTCAGGTACTTATTTGGTGATTGATGGATACCTCAAGGTCCTAGGATAGATTCAAATTAGGAACTTCATAAATACAAAGCAGGAGTTCCAGTCACTATGTTGTGATTATCAAGATGGTTATTTTGTGGGTTGAGCACTGTGTTCTACCGGACTGCATGGTGCTACAAACCAGAAAACGGCCATCTTCGTGCTCGCTGCTGTGAAAACCACAAATGCCACCTATGTTTATCAGTCTGTCTCATATTTATTTCAAAAGGAATTCCTAATGCTGCTAAGAAAAACGTTGAATCTGAAGATCAGGGTGCTGCAGAAGATGAGTATGGAGCCAAAGATTATCGGTCGCAAATGATTCTGAAGACTGACCATGAGTCACGGCCCCTATGGGTGGTAAGTCATGCTGGGTCACTCCGCTTTGCAGAATGCTTAGATGAACCGACATGAAACCAGTTCAGTCCACCAGTTTGTCAAGTTCATTATGAAAGAGTTAAATGTCAGCAGTGGTTTTTAACATGTTAAAACAATTTCATAAATTAAAAATTACAGTGAGTTATAAGATATTCTTTCATGTTTGTATGTCTGTATAAAAATTCTTTATAAACACCCATTGTACTGGAAGGTAACAAATTGGCAACTGTGGAATCAGTTTGACTTCACTAATTAAAGTATGTGAACAGAATTCAATTTGTTTTTGTTAAATTAGATTATTTACTAATTATGAACCTTACTTGTGTCCAGATTGAGCTACTTCATTAAGACCCTTGGTTTGATATACATGATCAGGCAAAAAATAAATACTAAAATATAAGAGAAAATTCTTGCCGATTGCATAGTTAAAGGGAGTATTGCATATGTGAGGAGTTGGAAGGACCATGAACTTAGAATGGGTGCAAATAAGTTGCCGAAGTTAAAGTTGTTTTGTACAGGATGAAGTTCAGGAAAAACAAGGGGCTGCTAGAGAGAGGATTTGAGGCCCTTTATAAATATTAAGATTCTTAATCCATTAAGACAAAGTTAAAGTTGTTCTTTTGATTAATTGAGCAACACATGTATGAACATTTCAGTATGTCGTGATTTCTGTTGTGTTTTTAGGCTCCAAATGGACATATATTCTTGGAGTCATTTTCTCCAGTGTACAAGCATGCCCATGACTTCCTGATAGCAATATCTGAACCTGTTTGTCGCCCAGAGCATATTCATGAGGTGAGAACCGATGTAACATCATTGTCTTAGTTTTCTTTGTGCATCTGAGAATTAGAAATACAAAACGTTCTCTTTCCATCTTTCAGGAGTCCTTCCAGACCATCTTCTTCTTCAGGGTTGTTATTTCAAAACTGTTTAGTGGCCCTATAATGTTTGTTTTATACATTATTTATATGATCCCTGAAAATATGTAATGTAGTATATATATATATGTAGGTGGGAATATGTGACTTTTTAGATGTTTTCTGTTTGTTCTGTATATTTCAGCAACAAATGGCTCTGAAAGTATGATTTGAGAATGGTTGTATTCAAAAAGCATTGTAGGTGCATCCATTTTCTGTAGCTGTTCTTTGAAATTATTATACAACTGTTGTCCTTAGAAGGTTAGGTTAATTTTGTCATTCCTTTGTTTTCTTTTCTTGAGAATTTTATCTCAGGGTGAAGAACTGTGGACACCTTGTCCCTCACTTAATTCTGTGTTAGGTGAGAAGGGGTTTGGCTCAGTCCAAAGAAAGTGCAGTTAGTAACAGGTTTAAACTTCCTCTTACAGTACAAGCTGACGGCTTATTCTTTATATGCTGCTGTCAGTGTGGGCCTCCAGACTCATGACATCATTGAATACCTCAAGAGACTTAGTAAAACAAGTATTCCAGATGGCATCGTAGAGTTCATAAAACTGTGTACCCTGTCGTATGGGAAGGTATGTGCTTCGATTTGTGACTGAAATAATGAAATTTCAGTTTTGGCTCAGGTTAGACTCCTTGAATTGGCACTTTATGAACATTTATATTTTAGAGGTATTGCAACAGCACATTAAGGAAGTGTTTCTGATAGAAACGGTAGATACCAATGACTGATTTTTGTTATTTATTGACACTTTTTCCACTGCACAGTGTAGTGATGAGTGTGAGTAGTGAATTCGAAAGAATGTGGATTGAAGGGGTTGTGGCATGTTTTAAGGCACTTCCCCAACATTTACCTGAAGGGCCTAAGGAGAACTACTCCAAGATTGGAAGAATGTGATCTTTACCAGCCTGAACGCTAATTGACTAAGTAAATTTCTACTAACTTCTCGTATTCTCTCAATTTTATCATTCGTCAATCATTGTGGTATCTGATGCTGTGTAGCCTGAGCTACTGACATTGTCATAACATAGATCACAAATAAATAAATAAATCCTAATTTTGAGAAGTTGCCATGGTCTGAGATGTATTTCTCGTAAAATTTCTATGTTCATTTCAAGTTTCCTGTGTTTGAGATCTATGTTCAGCTCATTGAAGCCTTTATGTTAGTGCGTTGCGAATGCTTTTCAGATGGAAATCAGCTTTCATGTCAATCTTACAGGTGAAACTGGTGTTGAAACATAATCAGTACTTTGTAGAGTCACCCCATCCTGAAGTGCTCCAGAAGATGCTGAAGGACCCTGTGATACAGGAGTGTAGATTACGGAGGAACATTGACACTACAGATGGCTCTGCAGGAAACCCAGATGACTTTATTACTCAGGTTCAGGATAAAAAAGGTGTTCTCCAGGTGAGTTTGCAGTGCAGTCTCAGAACTGAGGGTTTAGGAAACGTCAGGCACATGTTTGTATTTTGGTTTGGTACGAATGAAATGATGCCATCTCAAACATCTTAGAGACCTACAGTGTGCATGAAAAAGTTTACATTGTAAATGAGGACTACAGAAGTGCAAATTATGTGATAAGAGAACAGAAAATTCTGTACAGAGTTTGCTTTATGTAAAAGAACGGAATATAATGCTTAGCATTTAATTAAGTGGTTTGAAGAAATGTGTATCCTACTCGATCAGCAGAAAGGTCATAGACACCCACGTGTAAACATGCTTGTTGTAGTGTCCAAGGATTCGTAAGGAGCAGAAATTTGTGTTTCGTACCCCACATACTAGCGAACCCTATAAATGTCATTCATCACTTCAACCTCAAAACTGTCAAAAAGTGTACCAACAAAATTGTAGGTATGGTGGACAGATGAAGCATTTTTACATAGTATCAAGTAAATAATGTAAGTAAGTTATAGCATGCCTTTAAACCCACAAACAAGTAAGGTATAAGAAATGTGCATGTTTTTCAGTTTGGTACCAAACAGGGAATCTCTAGTGGTGTTGTACCAAAAGAGCATGGAAATGTTGCACCTGGTGACCAAACTGACAATAAGCCAGCGGAAGCTACCGTACCAGAAGATATCACTAATTTCTATGACAAGATAGACAAAGAGGATGAAGATGACGAAGAGGAAGCAGTCCTCAAGACAGTCTCGTTTGAAGTCAATCAGGTCAGTTTCTTCGCGTAAGCCCAGCTGAGTGCTGGGTGTTACCTTGGCCTTTGGCAGAAACAAGACATTTGTAGAAAGTCATGATTGGGAAATACATGAATAACTCTGTTGCTAGGCCGAAGTATGAAAAGATCACATTGTTTTGTATGATGCACTTTTTTTAAAAGTCTTTCTGTTATGTGGTTCACATTTATGTGATTACTTATTTTTTATTTCAGAGGTCTGCCTTGCAATAACCCCTCTTTTTTTAAGTTTTATGTGACTTGTGACTACTTTTCCTCTTATCTTTTTATTTTTTAGTTGCCGGTTATGTGTCTATTGTAAAATAGGAATTGGTAGCCTTGCTCAGCAACTCCACCAAGAGAAGGAGATTCATGCATAAGACCACTGAGAACTAGGCTGGCAACTTACATGAACTGTAGCTGCATCTCTCAGAGAACCAATAAGATTATAAGCTGAATGAAAGCCAAATTGTGTTTTTCATTTTATGTGCGTGCAGGAGAAGATTGAAGTTCTCCAGAAGCGATGCATTGAGTTGGAGCACCCTCTGTTAGCAGAATACGACTTCAGGAATGACACGGTCAACCCTGATATCAAGTGAGTCCAGCTGCGTTTCACTTTAGAATAGCATAGACAGAAGTGTACGAATCTTTGAGATTTTTTAATTCTTAGTCATTATTTATTTATGTTTGTTTTTAGTGATAAACTGAGGAGGATCTTGAGTGGAGACAATTTAACAGTTATGTAATGTGGCCAGGATTGTAGAACAATAAAGGAATGAATACTTTTACACTTTGAAGACTTAAGAAAATCATAAAGAGGATTATAACTGCGAAACTAATCTACATACCTGAATAATTTTGAAATACCGGAGTGCAGAGGAATGTCAATAGAGAATCTGATATTATTTACATCTATACTATTGCCAGTTTACTAAATATAACATAACTTTTCTTCACACAGCATGTAAATTGTGTAAATCTTGCTCAGATTTCTTATGAATCATTCAATTCTAATGATAAGTATCAGTACCGTATATGAATGGTCATAATCGTTATTTTTACTGTCATTGTCACTTTAATGTTGGAATAGTAGCTTTAAATTAGCAGTTGAATTTGTATATTGTTAGGTTGGGAGACTTTTCTTTCACTCAAACATTTCTGTTTGCCCTCAGCATTGATCTGAAACCATCTGCTGTATTGCGACCATACCAAGAAAAGAGTTTACGGAAAATGTTTGGAAATGGCCGAGCAAGATCCGGAGTTATCGTCCTTCCTTGCGGTATGATTAAATGGTGTAGCGTGCTACAGACACAGGATTCTTTAGCTAGACTTCCTGTGAAATTATTGATAATGTTTATTATTAGTATTGAGATTGGTTCTGTGTCGTGTTCTGTTGGAACATTTACTATAAAGTGATATGTTCTGATGTTACATACAGGTGCTGGAAAGAGTTTGGTTGGTGTTACTGCTTGCTGTACGGTGCGCAAACGAGCTTTAGTTCTCTGCAACTCTGGTGTGTCCGTTGAACAGTGGAAACAGCAGTTCAAGATGTGGTCGACAGGTGTTGTCACTTATGTTATAATCTTGAATGAGCAGAACACTTAAGTAACTAAGTGTCTGCGAGTAGAATCCAAAGTTTTGAGACTACCACTGCCAGAACTTGTCATAGGATATGGTCTTGATCCAGTTCCATTAACATGCTATCCTCACATCGTGTTTCTCCATGACCCATAATGACGCCATCTTCCCATTTCCTGCCTGGTACTCCAAGGCCTTTCTCAACCACAATTAAAATGCATTTATGTCTAGCCCATCCTATAGCTTCCTTGATTTCACCACCCTAATAAATGGTTGATGTTATGTATAAGTCACAAAGTTGTTTGCTATGCAGTGTTATAAATTTCTTGGTAACTGTTTATTTTAGGTTCATTTATGTCTAGCCCATCCTATAGCTTTCTTGATTTCACCACCATAATAAATGGTTGATGTTACGTATAAGTCACAAAGTTGTTTGTTATGCAGTGTTATAAATTTCTTGGTCACTACATTTATTTTAGGTGTAAATATTTTCCCGCTTATTGTGTAATCGAACGTTTACAATCGATGTTCATCCCTCAGAAGTACTTCTGTGAAAAACACACATATGGGTGCCACACGGAACAAGAGAACATGCCCAGTGGTCATCATTTTAACACTTGCTTTTGAGACCTGATATCATGTGACGGCAGCCACTGTTAACTCTTTTCCTACTATTAAACCAACTGATCCGATGGTCCAAGTTCTGTTAGGTTTCCCTTTGCTCCAAAGTGTCCAATATTTTTAATAAGGCTGGTTTTCTGCTACATATAATTTAGTGAAGACAGTTGTGCTTTTGTGGCTCTTGTGCTGGACAGTGAGAGCGCAGTATATTAATTATTTTGTTGATGGTCGGAAATCTTAGTTTATTTCTTGACAGATGTCAGTTGTTGGCTGCGTAGAAAGCTGGCAAGTTTATTACATAAAAAAGAAAGGAAATCTATAATGTTTTGGTTGCTTATTGATTTAATGTGAAGTAAACATGTTTATTTCCAGCGGATGACAGCATGATCTGTCGATTTACTTCTGAAGCCAAGGACAAACCAATGGGATGTGGAATTCTGGTCACCACATATTCAATGATCACACATACTCAAAAACGATCTTGGGAAGCAGAGCAGACAATGAACTGGTTGAAGGACCAGGAATGGGGAATCATGGTTCTTGATGGTTAGTAATATTCTATATGGTACAAATAACCACATTAATCTATTATCAACATTGTTGCATATGTTCCTTGTTAATCAGTGGTTGACTCTGATGCTTCATGTTTCAGAGTGTGAAGTTTGAATCTTTGCCTAGAATCTGGCAGTTTTTCTTCTCTTTTTTAGGCCTCTATTCCAGGGCTGGAGTAGAGTTTTATTATAAGCTGTGCCTGCTTTTTTACCACATTATTTTCTCAGTTTTGGTCTTATTTGGGATTTTGTGGTAGGATTTATCTCTTAAACCTTTTCATACTTGTATTCTAGTCTCACTTATGGAAATTGCACTGGTTTATCTTGAACAAATCTCTGGTAGCCATCTGTGGTGCAATCATTGCGTCTGTGATGGTGCAAATGCCATTGCCTAATTTAGTACAATTAAGTTATGGTAGAACTTTACATCTTGTCTAGAGGAAATTTCACTTAGTATAAGTTAGTTTGAATTTAGTTCTTAAGCTTATGCTCACAGCTGCAAATAGTTGAATTGACTTTAAACCCATTAATCAACAAACCATCATTCACAGTTAGTATACTTTTCAACACTGCATAACATACTCAGTTGACGCGTGTCATATAATAAAGCAAACATAATCTATTGTGATTCATTCGTTAACAGAGTTATATCATTGATGTTGCAGAGGTGCATACAATTCCAGCCAAAATGTTCCGGCGTGTGTTAACGATAGTACAGTCACACTGTAAGCTAGGTCTTACTGCCACTCTGCTCAGAGAGGATGATAAGATTGCCGACCTCAACTTCCTTATTGGACCAAAATTGTATGAAGCCAATTGGTTGGAGCTTCAGAAGCGTGGGTTTATTGCAAGGGTGCAATGTGCAGAGGTCTGGTGTCCCATGACCCCAGAGTTTTACAGGGAATACCTCATGTGCAGGACAAGCAAGAAACTGGTAAGCATACATAGAAAATTGTCTTACGTAGTTTATGTTCAACTAGGTTGTGTTTTTAATATTCTTGTGGGGGGCAAAAAAACATTTAGGTTGGACGTCCCAATTACCAGAGCCTGTCATTGGACAGGTTATGATGTGCAAAACATTGGAAATTGTCTTCCAGTATTTTGCATTGTGTGGATATGAATTTGTTTTTTTGAATGTCCATGTTGAATTTATATGTTTAAAGAATTATAAATATTTCCTAAAGCACTGAGACTTCTTTATGTGGTGAAAATAATATTGTCTGTTGTCATGCATTCTTGCTGCCCAATCTCCTTTGTGTGTCTTATGTTTTGGTGAGCTAAGCATTCACCTGTGTCTTGCAGCTGTTGTATGTGATGAACCCCAGCAAGTTTCGCAGCACGCAGTATTTGATACGCTATCATGAGAGACGTGGTGACAAAACCATTGTTTTCTCTGACAATGTGTTTGCCCTGAAACACTATGCCATTAAGATGAACAAGCCTTACATCTATGGTCCAACTTCTCAGGTACCTTTCGATATAAAAATGTTTAAGTCTGTAGTTTGATGTGCAGTTTTGTTGTAAGACATACAAATTTGACGGTGAAGCAGAAGGTGTAACCAGTGAACAGGTCTGTAAGATTTCTAAGTCGTGGGTGGTGCAAATTATCTGGATGTGTATGGTCAGTGGTTAAATATTTTCAGCTTACTTAACTGTCGGTAAACAAATTGAAGTTTAACGGAAGTTTTACTTCGTCTTCTGTGGTCTGATTTTTGATTAATGCTTAGAAGCTGATATTTCTTTTAATGTAATTCATTAATTAGTTAAGGGTGCACAACCATGTTATGTATTTTATTTTCAATTCTTCGTGCTTTGCTATATGGGCACAAACGTTTTCCTCGTGTTATATCATTTTTGAAAAACAGCCTAGCAGTTCTCGTATAGTCGTGATACTAACAGGGTTGCGTGTTCAGAAGGTTGGTAAATTCAGTACTATGCTGTTTGCTATATATTTGTCATAATTTCAGAATGAGAGGATTCAGATTCTGCAGAACTTCAAGTTCAATCCAAAAGTAAACACTATCTTTGTCAGCAAAGTTGCTGACACATCATTTGACTTGCCAGAAGCCAATGTTCTGATCCAGATATCTTCCCATGGTGGCTCACGAAGGCAGGAAGCTCAGAGATTGGGTAGAATTCTTCGAGCAAAGAAAGGTATTACTGTATTTATGTTTTGAAATTTTTTTTATTTGAATACGTCTGGGGGAGATAGATTTAGATGGAAGGATATAATGTTAAAATGGATCTTCTGACACAAAGGTTGTGAATGTTTGAACCCGGTTGAACTACCTGTCAGTTGGGTCCAGTGGTGACCTTCATGATGATTCTGAATAGTATGTTAGGTAACCAGTGAGTTTTCAAGAACAAATCTATGCTCTGGTAAGTTAGATAGTTACTTAGCATTGACGTTGAGCATTGCTTTTTACTAGCTGTTCTATTTCTTTCCATGTATATTAATTTCTAAAACTATATTATCAATCCTAAGTTTATGTTATATGTCAATATATCATTTTTCTAAAAAAATTTATCCAGCTGAAGGTGTTATTTGAGTCAAAGTATTGCAGGACACTTACTTTGGAACACTGAGTGTATTATTATATTATTACTCTATCATTTTTAAGTTTATTATTTGCAACTGATATCATCTTCATCAATGATATTGTGACGTGTCGCCGTGAGTGCCGCAGACTCGCGCTGGAGGGGAGGGGCAGTCTGACTTCCAGGCTGCCTTGTCTGGATCTTTCAACATCTTGGGAGGGGGATTATAAACAAAGTCGCATTCCTGGGCGTGAACGAGTGCGAGCAGAGAGTAAGCTGGAGGGCACCGCGGCAGCTAGACCGAGTGAAGTGTTGAGCGTGTGAAAAGTGTGTCGGGTCGTATTCAAGGCAGCGGACTCCAAAAAGCAAGGGTTGACAATAAAGGCCGTAATTACCAGCCTACATCACAATATTGTATATGTGCTGCTGTAGTGAAATATTTCTCTTTCTTAATGTGTAGGGGCTATTGCTGAGGAATATAATGCATTCTTCTACACTTTGGTGTCTCAGGACACAATGGAAATGAGTTACTCGCGGAAGAGACAGAGGTTCCTTGTCAATCAGGGCTACAGCTACAAAGTGATCACCAAACTGGCAGGCATGGATGAGGTACACTGTGCATATCTGAGACTATGTTATCAAATAAGAATTATAATAATGATAAGCAGCCTTGTAGAAAACTTCAGGGTATCCGATTCTGCTGTTCATACTTGAAGCAGGTACAACCCAGATTCAAGTTAGAGTTCGAACCTTCCCTTGTGTCAAGTTTAATAATGTAAAAGGCAGTTTGTTTGGTTCTGAGGTTATTAGGAATGAACTTGCAGTGTGTATTACTATTGCAGATAATGATTATTTCTTCTAAAAGTGGCATTTGAATTAACTCTTTCTTATTTCATGATTCATTTGAGTTGTTATGTAGTTTCTGTCGATACAGCCATAATCTTGTTGGATGATACATTGAGGTTGGTTTCTGTATGTCACTACCATGCACAGTATTTGGTTTTTGGCACTTCCTAACTTGTATCTGTAATAAACGGATCTCTCTTGTTCATGTTTTATAAAACAGCTTTTCTGTTGTGTAACCTGTAATATTAGACTTTGTACTATGAGTAATAACATTTGTCTGAATATATTGTTAATGTAAGGGCTGAAGTAATGGATGTTAGTTATGTTCTCGCTGCTTCAGGAACCTGATTTGTTTTACAAAACGAGGGAGGAACAGAGTCAGTTGCTGCAGCAGGTACTTGCAGCTAGTGATGTGGATGCAGATGAGGAAAGAATTCCAGGCGAAGGACCTCGTACAGGACCTGCAGTACGTGTATTTGGAAGTGATTACTACTTGAAGGGTCTTTGCACAGTGCTTGTGCACTTCTGTTTTAATAAAAATTATTCATTAAATTAAATAGTACATTAGGACATGCTGTTTATATTATCACTGCTGTATTCTTAAATTGACTTGACTTCTCTTATGGCATTTCTTTTAGATCTTGTCTAGTACTGGGATAATTTGTAAATATTAGAGAAGACCTTTTATCTTCCATAGATTTGATTTAGTTCCTTCTTTATTTATCAATATAATGAATTATTCTCCATTCAGCCACCTACACGGCTGGTAGCCTGAGAAGAATTCATTACACTTAGTCACCATGATAGCTTCAGATCATTTATTGATTGAGTTAGTGTTGTGATGGATGCTGGTCAGTTCTTCACATAAAATTTATTAATAATTTCTCGGTGTTACTAGGTTCATCGCCGAGTTGGCAACATGAGTTCTATGTCTGGGGCTGATGACGCTGTTTATTTGGAGTACAAGAAGACAGCATTTTCCAATATCAAGCACCCACTGTTCAAGAAGTTCAGAACATGATAGAAAGATATAGTTTAAGGTGTTGCTGAAATTATGTGTTATAGCTATTTACATGATAGAAACAAATCAAAGGCATCTATAAATCATATTAAACATGTAAATGCACTCTGTGGGAAACAGAATTACTGGATGATAGAACATTGGTACATATGGATGCCATTGAGTTTCAAAGGGTTGGTGAAGAAGAGCATTAGTAGTTAGTAAACAAGTTAAAAATGCGTTGTTCTGATCTGTGAGACTCTTAAATAAAATGTTTCGTTAGTCCTTCCTCTTTTATGTAATGATGTAGAGCTCTCCACTTTTTGCTTACATTTTGGATTGTTCCAGTGAGACACCCTTTGCTTCAAACGTTTCTGGTGGTCATGTTAAGAATGCTTGCTTTCCTATTCTATATTTTGAATTGTACATATTTGAGTAAAAGAGTAAAAATGTACATGTTGTTACACAAAACATGTCCTAAACTGTAAGTGAAAGATTTGCCTTGGATTTGTGTCGTACTGTATTTATAGTATGATGTATTGTAAATAGTATGTATACAGTTTGAGAATGAAATGAAATAAACTGTTGAAAACGTATGCTATATCCTCTGTAAATATAAGTCCTTGATACATGCAGCCATTGCCATTTCTGCTCATTTTGAACTTCATGGTTCTTACTCCAGGTCAGAGTTCTTTATGTGTTTGTCTTTTGGTATTATTACCATTGTTTTAGCCCATATGATACACACTTATGCAATCTGCAGGTGACATGTTTTATTAGTAATACGTTTTAACTCTATTTCTGCTTCATTGCTAAATTTATATCTCTTTATTTTATATGTTTGGTTAGGTTTTGTTAAATGAATAAGATAGGTTATGTTTGAAAAAGTTCATAAAGAGATATTTCCTGTCCAAAATTAAAGGTTTGTTTTAGATATTTCCTGCCATTAAGTTTACCACACGTTCAAGCACAGCGATTCTGCCATCTAGGGGGTCTTCTCAATAATATACAGTATGCTTCCATCTTCTTTTGATTTTGATCGTGGGAGTGGCGAAACATGCTTAGGTAAATATTGCTATTTTTATGAAGTTGTTATGAATATTTGTGTTTTTTAATGTGTTGTGTGGGACTAAATAGTTTCCAGTACCGTATGTACGTCCGTTTTACGTGGCTGAAGTTATTTTCACTCTCGTGCTACGTTCCAATATTTTCCATTTGGGTGTGAGGTATCACCTACCGGTTACTTGCTTTGAGTGATTAGAATGAATTTCATCATTTGCCGTTGGTGTTCGAATAATATTTGCAAATAGGGACACTTGCTGAAAAGGTAACTTCATAAGCACACTCCTTTGCTTCAGCGCTGGCGTATTTGATAAATGTTAACGTAACGTAAAGGAGAAACGTAGTATTATAAAGTATGTCCTGAACCTCAAAATAATGTTTCATAGAAATAAAAGGGCCTTCTGAAAGGTGGGGATGCATGCAATTTGTTATTCAGATGAAGCAAGGGATGGTGTTAGAAAAGTTGTGTGTAAAAAGTTTAGTTAATGTTGAAAGAGGCGTGAGGGGGTGGTGAATTGGAAGAACTGCATCATGAAATAGGACAGACGTGTTAATTGACATTATTAGCCTCACATTTTGAGCAGTTTAGGTGAATTAGCAATGTGCCTGATTATGGTGTTGAATAATAAACTGAAGGATGTGGAAAGCAACCATGGCCTGGTGTAAGTTTCTCTCAGCCCCTCTAGCATTTGAAGTGGAGGATATAACCATGATGCCTTTATCTCCAATTAGTTTGCTTTGCAGTAGTAAGGAATCATTCTTGTGTCTCATTGATCCTAAATAACCTCATAAGATAATATGTAATCATTAAGTAACTGAACCAACCCAGCAACAACATTACCACATTAACTTCATTATCCTGTACATGACTCGGTTGTATTTTGTTGGCTGCAATGTTCTTGATGGTGCTCAATATAAATCTGCATGAAAAACTTTTATTGTTGGTCAAGGTTGTTTTTAAACAATGTAGCTACTTCAGCAGGCATTGGGACATTTGGGAAGAACAAGCATATCCATCATCAGGGTAGAATGAATGAAAGTGTACAGGTGTTTCTAAATTATGTACCCTAAATTATAGGGGAGTTTCAGGATGCCAATATGAGTCAAACATTTGGGTCTCAAAAAAGCAGGTTCAAATAACTTGGACTTAGTTCACAAATTATACTAACTCCATAGGTAGAGTAACTTGTTGAGAAGCTGGTAGTTACTCAGCTAGTCAAGAAATACCCATCTTTTATGGAACTAAAGGTTTACAAGAGCCCATTCCAGGTCCTGTGTAATGTTCTGTAACATGCTGCATGTTTAATTGCAGGTGAAAACACTGCAGTAGCTGAATTGTCGTGTGAGGTGGCCTGTGCAGCTTTGAGGCTGCATCCACCGTGTGCACAATAGGGAGGCACAGGGCTTCTGCCATGTCCCGACACCCAAATGACAACCTGCTTACTTATAAGCTGGTGGTGGTGGGGGATGGAGGGGTGGGCAAGAGTGCTCTCACGATTCAGTTCTTCCAGAAGCTGTTTGTCACTGACTATGACCCCACCATAGAAGACAGCTACATACAGCACACTGAAGTAGATGGACAGTGGTGCATTCTAGATGGTATCTATAAAATATGTTTAGTCACATGCAAGAAATTGACAGTCGTATAAAAAAATTGATTTCAGAATTTGTAATTTTATGTTCTCTTGCCTGTAGTCACTTTGAAATATTGTCTTGCTACCTTTGAGGTTATGTTTGTAGGTCATTACTGTGAGGTATTTAGTGTAGAATTTTGTTACTAGTACTGGACACTGCAGGCCAGGAGGAATTCAGTGCAATGCGGGAGCAGTACATGAGAAAAGGTGATGGCTTTCTGTTGGTGTATTCGGTCACTGACCAGCAGAGTTACGAGAACATCATCAATTTCCACACTCAAATACTCAGAGTTAAGGACAGGTAAATTTGATGATCACATTTGTTTATTATGTGTCTTGTGAAAAAGACAAAGAAAAGTGTGATGGTTGCCTATAACCTATGTGCATGCCATTGTTTTAGTGCACTAAGACCAGAATCTTACGGTGTCTATGGTAAATGAATATCAATTCCAGTGAGGGGTTCAAACTTCTGAACTCTCAGCTGGAGTCACCTTTCTTCCATTCTTGTTACTCCCATGAAGGCATTGTCCATTGTGTAATGATTTATGCTGTAGGGACGTGTACCCAATGTTACTGGTGGCTAACAAGGTGGATCTGGTCCACCTCCGGAAGGTGACTGAGGAGTCTGGCCGGGAGTTGGCTCATAAATTGGGGATTCCCTATATAGAGACCAGTGCCAAAGATCCACCACTGAATGTTGATGCAGCCTTCCATGAGGTAGGTATTAAAACCAGTGTTCTGGCTGTTGAGCACCCATTAAAATGTTTTTCTTCTTGATGCTACAGCTAATTTAAGCTCTGCTTTCTCCGAGACCATAGTGTTTTATATGTTCCTTTCTTTCTTTCTTTTTTTTTATTATAAATAATTAATAGATTTCTGAGTACATCCATGCATTCATGGTGGAAAGGCAGTTTACTGCATCTGTTACTCTTGTACTGTCTGGCAGGAGAGCAGGAAACTAACTTTTGTATCATAAGTGGAATGTCACAAGTGACTAGAGAATTACAGTCTTGTATGTTGCAGGTTGTGCGTATAATTCGCAACCAGCCACCGGCAGAACTAGACAGGAATCGAAGAAAAATGAGACGTCATGTAAAATGCATGCTGCTGTAACACTGCACGTGATGCAGACACAGAGAACAAACAGTGCTCACACTATTTTTTAAATATTTAGTTTTTACATGGTATTAATCAGCGAGATGTAAACGCACATTTAATGTTCATCTCATGAAGTCATTGTAACTAGAGATGATTTTTGTTAACTTTGATGACTGCAAAGTCCGAGCATGTCACTCGAGGTAATGACAGCTGTCCACCGAGTGCCATGTTCAATTGATTGTGACAAAGAGAAAGAATTGAAGTATTTATTGTTGAATATGATTGTTTCCATTTGACAAGTTGTTTAGATTGCTTCTACATGTGACAATAAATATTGTGTTGATCGTATTCGTATTGGTTACTTGATATAATGGAAGACATGCATATGTGCACGAATGCTGCTTCTCTGTGTTATGTTTCTCAGTTTAGTATGTGTATTGATGTCTGATTTATTTTCTGTCCTTTATAAATGGAAGTCGGTGGAATTGTTATTGTTTTTAATTACAGAATTCTTCAAGTCCTTCCTGTGTGTAAAATATTTTTATTTTGCTGATACCACCAGGGGACCATTTGTGTGACATCCAGGCTTGGCTTTTTGCATTATGCACAGGGTGTTTGCGTCAGTGGCTCCCCTTTGTGTATGTATGCAGCCAGAGATGGAAACTGTTCATGTTTGATATGTAGCACATAGGAAGTTAATAGAATACGTGCTGTATTTTAATTTTGCTGTTTATAAAATATATTTATATCGTTATTAAGTGAAGTTATGAAACTTTAAAGATAAATATTGAAATTTTTATGCTGTAAGTTGTTAAGATGGTGCTAACTTTTAAGTTGAACATAATTTATTGTACACCCAATTAGCATATGCCTGTGTGATGAAGATAATGGTCAGGTTGATAATGAGTGGAACTTAAGCAAATTCTTCTTAAACTAAAACACTTGCTGACTTATATAAATTTTGTGATCATGAACTGACATCTATCTTATGGTTAAGTCTCTACATTCATTTCTGTCTTGTGAATAAATCTTTACGCTCATTTCTGTGTTCTGACTAAGTCTGCGTTTATTTCTGTCTTGTGACTGAGTCTATACATTAATTTCTTTGCTTTTATATCTGTATCTACTTTATGTTATGTTTATTTCAATACTAATGTAACATTTATAGGAACATTAATTCATGCAAATTGAATTTTTAAAATTTGATTATTCTTTTATAGTAAGCATGTACAATGCCCTTGGATGAGGCATTAAAATCAATGCCTTGATCTCAATTACGTGTTGAGACTAACACAATGCTGACTGCCTGCAATCTTATGCTCTGTGGTCAGAATTGAAGGGGTTTAAAATTGAAATGATAGTAATGGAGTACTTTTGTGGTTGTTAACCATTGAAGCTGCTGCTTGTAGACATACACATTTCTGTTCGAATGGTATTGCACGAGGTAGTACTCTTCAAACTTTGTAGAAAGGAAAGATGTCAGAAGCTGAGAATGGCACCACAGTATAAAACTCATAATATGTAATGATACATAATAGATACGTGTCTGTCTGCAGTAGATGGAATCGAAACAGTGAAACTTGATTGTTTTTATTCTTTACTGTTCAGATGCTTTCAGAAATCTTTAAGATTTGTATTGTAGCACTTCTCATGGCACAAATTTATGAGAGTTTTAATTAATAGAAAATTTATTTTAAATTATTGTGTTTCATAATATATTTTAATGTGAAGTTTTATCAAGGCAATGTGATTATCTTGGCTTATTAAGTATGAAATTTTATGAAATGTTTGAAGTTGTGTAATTTTGTTTAGGTGTGAAAATGACTGCTTTATTAATGAGCCTATTCATAGTGGCAGCTTAAGTGTAAGGCATAGTTCATCCAGTAATAAAGTAGAGAATTATGGTAGGTTTTTATTTATTTTTTGCGCAAAGTACATAAAATTAATTTATAATAAGGAAGTCTTGCTTGTCTGCTCATATGTTTCATATCCATAACTACTCTGTCGATTTCAATGAAATTTAGTATTCAAGGTCCAGGAAATTAGTTTGGGGGTATTCAGTTACAAATGCTTTACGTTACATGAATCCAAAATCAGCTTTTGTGAAATATCTCAAACGTACTGGAACACAACAAAATATGTACAGATCTCATTAAAATCTAAAACTTTTGTTTGGATAATTTGTATGTGATGATGAATACTTAACAAAAAATTTAAAAAAAATTATCTTCTGTGGTAATTGTAGAGCTGTCAGCCTGGTGACGATTTGTATCTGCTATCAATATACTTCAAGGCCCAAGAGTTGTGCAAGATAGCAAAGATGCATTTGTAAAATTTGCTGCATTAGATTACACCTTTCCACTCTTTGCATCTTCATAAAGTTTTTGAAGATGAGAAAGTTTGCCGTCATAACAACACTGATGCTAAGTTAAAAGGTGAAGAATATATATGAGGGAACAGTCTTGAGTTGTTTGTGTCTGATTATTTTTAAATTTTAGTATTGGCAAGTCTCATAAATGGTATTGGACACTGTGCTTTGTCATTCTCTAATTTAACGTTATACTTTGCTACTCCAGAATTGAACATTGTTCTTTATCACTAGAATCTCAGTAAAGACGTTACTAGTAACAGACAGTGTTAGCCATCTTGTCCACTGACAGACTGGCAGCTAAACACATCATGAAACACTTTTGTTACTTTGATCCTGAAATATTATTTACCATAGCTTTTGTAGCAAAGTAACTTTGTGTGAATTAACCAACATGGATGAAGGTGGGTGGTCATCTACTTCACACTTGAAGTAACTGAATACTTTTATACACTGTCCCTGTGAATCTGATTGGCTCATGAAAGCATGTGGTAGTAGGTGCACAGAAATGTCCAAAATTCAACCTTGATTGTTTACGTTAGTCACCTAGTGGCTGTCTGCTTCATGTTTCCTGTATGACGGCTTACAGTGAAATACGGTCAGTGGATATAAACATTTTGAAAAAGCATATAAAGGAATTGAAAGTGATAAAATTGGGAATAAAACAACTTGTAATGTAGAGTTTTAAGATTCATAACAGACTGACTACTGTTGCCTGTTCTTCTTTCCACAGTGTTTAAGATTTTGAGTAAACAGTCATTCCTACCCTAATGTACATATGCTAATGTTTTTGTTATTGCTGCGATGGAGTAAGACTTTTTGTCTGTAGCAAAGTAACTCACTGTTTGATGATATTGTGTCCTGTGTGCGGTCTCATGCCAGAATCACGTGCTGTTGAAACGGTACTACCATTAGTAGTTCAGTGAGAGCTGCAGTTCTTCCAACAATTGTGCTGTCCCAAATTGATATATTAAGATATTTATTTATGTAATCTGTCTGCAGAATATAAATTACGTATTATATGCTTAACAGTAAACAAAAATAATGTTTTTCACCTGTTACTTTGTTTCTCTGAAACAATTATCTGCTTAGAGACTAAATTGTCACAGCATAAACAATCGTCTTTATGATCTGTTGTTGTGATAAAGCCTTCTCTGTTCTTATCTAAGTCCTGACTTTAGCAAATGGGCATTAATTTTTTAGTAGACTGCCACTTTGTATTTGTTGATGGGCATTTATGTTGTGATATGTGCAGCCACAGTTAGATGCTTCACAGTTGTGTTGAAGTAAACAAACCTTTGTGGTGGGTTTGCTGGAAAATGTATGTTTTGAATGCCGGTGTTGTTTTCAAGACATATTCACAAAAATATATTAAGAAACGAAGTTTATGTGTGTTGCTCTATTTATTTGTTTATAAAAATGTTTTTTATTAAAAAAGTTGAGATGTATAGATACGCTGGCTTCTTTTTGCTTCAGGAAGAAAATGACGTGTGTGGCGTGTAAATGCTTCCGTGTGACGTTTTGAGTTGTGTAAAGCAGTTATACTGCATTGCAGTCCTACCATTAGCATCAAGAAATTGTGCACTTCTAGGTTTCATAATATGCATTAATTTTGTGTTAATTTGTTACTAGCCATACACTCAAACACCAAATTGTATACCACTGTTGTTTGATTCACAACTGCATATTTATCATATTTGCAACTATGAACCATCTTTATATTGCTAGCTTACAAGGCAGTGGGGTATTCTGCACTTTGATTGGTAAATGTGTGGCCATTTGGGAATAATAGTTCAAGATTGTTTTGTGATTTTGTATCAGAAATGAGAACAACGTGTTCTCCATAACATTAGCAAATGTACCACCCTTCACAGCCATGTCATTATCCAAGAATTGGAACATGATGCTATTACAAGCCGCCGTGAAATAAATCATAAGACTTTCATGATTTTAGAAGAGTTTGTAGAATTGTAATTGTTATGGCCGATGCAGGCTGTTCTGTTCAGGCATGATTTTGTAACTGAAGAGTGCTAGTCTGTAATGCTGCTAATGGTATGACTTCAAGATAGCTGTCGAAAGTTATACCTTGTGCGTTGCTTGTTGTTTTACTTAATTAAGTTTTTAATGTAATTATAAAGGTTACCCATAAAGTAATATAAGTCGTTCTCTTATATTGAAGTTACATTTTTTTTGCCTCACATATTCGTTTTACCTGGCAAAGAGTGATGTGGTTTTTGATAGTATTATCTCCATAGATAATGTTTAGCCTTTAGTGATTGTTTGTCATTGACTTGCTTTATGCCAAAAGAAACTCAGTTGCTTGTAATGCAAACCACTGTTGTCTCCCATTAATTTTTTTCTAAGGTAACTACTTAAGTTTCATGGGACATTGCATTCTGGGTAACTTACGTACATTATCCAACACTCCTGTTAATTGTAATAGTTATTTGCATATGTAGTGAAGGCCTAATGAAAGAGTTAAGAGTCTTGAAATAATGAGAGAATTTTTACTTCATTGTATATATTATATAATTTATATAAATTCTGTTAAGTGCATTATTTCATATTGTGAAATATGTTGCCTTGCTTGGGATTGATCAGCATTGATGCAAGACTACAGCTATTGGCACAAATAAAATGCAAATTGTAGATGTGTAATAGCTCAAGTGTGGTGACCGTCCATTCATTAAAAAAAGAAAATATGTTGAAAGTCACTGAACAAGAAGCATAATATTGATCATTCTGTTGTTTTGGTGTTTGTGCAATTTTTGAATTTAATTCTGATACAGTTGCCTCATAGTGTTGGGTATAAAACAAAATGAACAGCTGGACTTTTATTGTTATTAACCTGATTATCAACATCTGGTCAGTCATATTTGCACAAATAAATGTATATTTGATTTAGTCTTTAAAACTCAAAGACACCAGTTCTTTTAGATGTTCAAAATATTATTTAGAACAACACCTACAGGTTTTATCATGTCTGTCCAGTTGCTGGTCTGAAAGCAGTTTGGCAAGCCATGGGACTGATTTCTATGAAATATGGTATATTTGACATACACTAAATTTTTTCAGTCCCCAACTTTAAGAGAGATTCGTGGAGAGTAGGACTTTAGTTTCCACCATTAAGGATTTATTTGCGCATTCTTGTTTACATTAAAATATTTTCAGCACTTTGCCTGCTTGTTAGACCACCTGTAGCATGCTGGGAGAGCTTCTGTGTATGACAGAACTATTCACAGTAGTGAAATAGGCTGTTGGTAGAACTGACTTTCCTGTCTGAAGAAGTTTCTTGATTAAATTGCAGCCTCTGTTTAGAGGTGTTTTTTATAGCAATGAAACTTGATTTTTAAGTTCATCACTCCTAATGGCTTGCACAAAGTAAGACATTTATTTCTTGTATCAGAATCAACAGAATCTTGAGTGTTAACAGAACTACTTGCAGTGGCTGTTCAACTCGACATTTAACATGTTTGTGCCAGAGTAAGCCAAAAGTGTGGTCCATAACCACACAGCAGATTGTATAGCCTGTAGCCTGGTGGTCTGTATTATGATGCTCAAGCAGAAAACCACTGTAGTTTGTCAGGGAATAATATTTAAATCTATACAATTTCAGAGAATTACTCATAGACAGTAAGCCAGGTGGACCAGATTCTTGTAAGATGCTGCTGTCTATGTGGAAATATAGCTGAAATGCAACCAAATTTTTTAGATTGAAGATAAGAGAGCCCATCATGTATGCCAGCAAGTTTAGTAATAATTTTATGTAATAATATTATGTAACTTCCTTTAATGGATGTGAATTAAAAGATTTAATATTTTTCTTTGCTGTTGCTGAAGAAATGCATAATTACCTGGAACTGTGAGATATATGATGTTGTAAAAGCTTTAATATTACATTGTAAACTGTTCATGATGTTATATGGAAGGATTGTGTCCAATTGTGTAAGGTGATAAATTATTTTTATGTGTTTACTTCTTTGTTTCTTAGTGCAAGATTTCACCTCTTCCATTTGGAAACAGTAGTTTGCTGTTTTTCCAGGACATGCCATGTCCAGTTTATTTGTTGTCATTGTGTGCAATTTGCAGTTAACTGAATTTTATTAAATTATTCTTGTGTATGGCATATATAGGGAGTAGAGGTAAACCTCTACACATTCATAACTTTGATGTCCATTGACTTTACACTTAGGAAAATAATTTTTTTTTAAAAAGAGGCTATTTAGACTGTAGAACTAATCTGGATATGGTGGAGTAAAAGAGCTTTACCCTTTCAAGAATTGAACCCAGGCCATACAGTATGTAGGCAGTCACTTCTACTCATAATAAGTTAAAACTAGGCACTCTCATTTTGGTTATAGAGAATTTCAAAAGTAAAGTCTACACAGGAGTTTTGAGTGCAAGCATAGTATGTAAGGAAAAGTATAACAAAACTTCCAGTCTTCCTTATCCAAATAGCCAACCGCCGAAATGGGGCAGGTCTCTAAGAAGGTGATAGATAATTGTTCAGCTTGTTAAGAAATTCACAGCCTCATTTTGAGACATTTTTGTTATTTTCAATAGAGCTTTGCCACTGGTCCCTATCTTGAGCCAGATAAATACAGTCCATATCCAACCCCCGCTAATTTCTTAAAATTCGTTTGAATATTATCTTACCAACCTGTGTTTAGTTTTGAGTGATAGGTGCCCATTGGGCTTTCTAAGCAAAATTTTGTACCCATTCTGCATCTAATGATTGCTACATGCCCAACCAATCATATCCTCGTTATTTCTCGGATGATATGGGGTGGAGAGTACAAATTATGCAGTTCCTCCATGTGCCTCAGTTTTTGTTTCATAATATAATAGTATTAGCCGAGTCGACAAGGAAATTTCACGTTCAAATTGGGTGCCGTTGGTTAGCCTGATGCCTGTCATTTATTTGATTTAACAATTGCAGTAGTTCATCTTTGGTAACGAGAATTCGATTACTTATCGTTGCTAGGTGCATTTCTTGTGGGGCTGTTTTAACGTTTGAAAATTAGAATTTGTTATTGTGTTATTTGCCAGAAAAGGCATCCAGACACATTTGTCGGTGAGTCGTCTCACGGGGATGATTTATTTGGAACTGATGAAATTTTATTATAAAATAATTGCACCAGAACACATGCACTGAGTCGATTAGCAAGCCGGCAGTTGCATTATTGTGTTTCAAAACACCTTTATCATATTTATGCATCTATTCGGCAGTTTGATGTTAGGATGCTTCATTTGCCTATTGGAAGTTGTTTCATGTATGATGGGAGGATTTTTGTAAAATAATCGTAATGACAGCAAATAAATAGATATATGTTATGTTCGTCAGATGTTTGTTGCTTCTGTTCCTTCAGAATTTCATTTACAAAATTGTTTCATGTTGTTCTTCGGAACAAGTTAGGTAGTAAATTCAGTTGAGCAATATCGTATCCAGTGCTCTGGTCATAAAAAATCTTTACGTTATGATTTTGCAGGTTATAATACACATTGGCTTTTGATATTGTTTTTCCAACACTTTCTTCTCTCTAGAACAGCATTTTAAGGCATTTCGGTCATTTGATTTGTCATCTGATGTGTTTCACAATCTAATTACCCAGAGTATGTGGAATTCATATAATTAACTGTTGACTAAAATGGGAAGAATTTGTAGATAAAATATTATTTCCATGTTTGTTAGATTCACTTCTTTTCAGAAAATGACTGCTGCTATTGGAAAGACCCCAGTCTCTGTACTTCAGGAATTGTTAAGCAGGCGTGGGACAACTCCAAAATATGAACTTGTTCAGATTGAGGGTGCTATACATGAACCGACATTCCGATACCGTGTGACAGTATCTGAGGTTGTGGGTATGTATGATAATACCTACCTTTCATGATCAAGAGTTTTAAGTCAAGTATTATTGGTAATTTTGAAACTAAAGATTATGGTTTAATGGTATTGGATATTGTGCAATTATTTTGTGTGATAAGGCTGTTTTACAGGGAGGATGGGGGCCTTGACTGTACCTGAAGAATTCCAAGTAATTAATCATAGCATTTTACTGGTTGTGAACAGTGAAATCTGAGCGAAACGTAATGTGATTGAAGTTATTATGTTGCATTATTTCTTATGTGCACTTTTATATTATCCATTCAACTATGCGTAGGTGTCCCATATGATCTCCTTGGGTTTAACAATCAAAGTTTCTTTTGCATTCTTTGTTTTCCTTTGTATTAAGCGTCTCTTTATGTAATTTGAAATAAGGATGGCATTGTCATTTTAAGATAACTTATTTCTTTCATGCAATCATTTAATTTTAAAACTGTTGTGGCATGGAGGGAAGAAGGGGAAGTCTTGCAGTGTTATGAATTGTATAACATTATTGTAAAGAAAGAGATTTTGCCTCATGAGGTAGATAATGGGGTCTCTGGAATAAAGAATGGCTACACAGATTAGGTATCATGTACGTCTAAGCAATTTGAAATATACGATACAGTTCTGCATGGACCTGAGCCTGCTGTATATTTTGGCAGTGTCATAAAGGAAAGGGCTTGGAATCAGAGTCATTCTCCATGTGAACTGTTTACAGAAGTTATCATATTGAACTTAGAGAAGACGTGAGAATGGAAATGTTTGGTGCAATGGAGTACTCATATTTTACACAGTAATTGTTAGCAATTTTACAAATCCGATTGGACTTGGCGTTAATTTATGAAGGTACAGATCTGTTGTTGAAAAGCTTATAATATTACAGTTAAAACTGTATGAATTAGTTCTTCCAGTTTGCCCTTTAGTATACACACTAGAACAAGAATATATTTATAATGAAAGTAGTAGTGCTTACAAAGATCTGTATTTTATATTATGTTGGCACTTTTGTCCAGTGGACTATTTTCAAGAAAGTTTGTAAGTTTGATTGTCATAGAGAGTTTGCATTAGGGTGATGGCAATGAAAATTTACTTTGCCTGGCGGGTTTTAGTTTAAACTTCTAGTAACAGACTTAATTGGAATTAATTTAGTAGTTCTGAGGTTGAAGGAAGTGGGTGGATGGGCACGGTGATTACATTATGCATTTGTTTTACGTACTCCATACAAAATGCTAGTTGAAAAGTACACGTATATAAGCTGCTGCCAGTGGAGATGTCTGGAGGACAGGACTGGAAAGCTGTGCACTGGGTGGAGCTGTTTTCTGACTACGCATTGCAGCCAGCCTTAGTCAAGGAACCCTTCATATGATTTTGTGTGGGTCACACACTTTTTTGATATTAGTGTTTTCCCTGTCACAGTAATCTATAATTTCCTTAGAACATTATTTAAATAATTTTTAATGTTTATATGATTCATACTGTTTCATTCTTTTATTTGGATAACTGATTAATTTTCTTAACTTTGTTGTATTGAGAATGTTAAAACAAAAATGACTACTGTGTTTTGGGATCTACCGTAATATTGATCACAAACACTACCGTGTTCTTTTTAATTTACTATTAAAATGCCATTGCTCATCATTAAATCCTAGATGAAAACTACATGATTTTTCTTTATACATGCTGTATGTTCACAGCCATGGGAACTGGACGATCAAAGAAGGAAGCAAAGCACGCTGCCGCCAAATCTGTCCTGGATAAATTAATTGTTGGTTCTCAGGAAGATGGAAGTAGCTGTACCAACAACGCGTTGTCCGAAGTGTAAGTGTTCATCATTACTTCTCTCTGATGTATAAGGAATATTTCTTTCAACACAGGGGAACCTGGATTTCAGTCTTATTTATACTTTTGGCATAAAAGTATGAAAGTAAACCACCAGGTGTATCTGAAGACTTCACGTGATAACGGCCTGTCCTTTTATTTGCTAGGAAGACAGAGATCATTTCACCCTATGATGACAAGATCCCAGGCAACCCCATTGGGGCACTGCAGGAAATGTGCATGTCTCGACGCTGGCCTCCCCCAGGCTATGAGATGGTGAATGAAGAGGGTCTTCCCCACGAACGCCTCTTCACCATTTCCTGTGTTGTATTTAAGCACCGGGAAACTGGTTAGTTGTAGGCGTGGGACCCACTGGGTCTATGATGAGCGCTGTGTCTGTGAATGTGTATGCTATGATGTGCGTAGGCATACCAATAGGTGATTTTTATGACTGTCATATGTAAGGACCACAGTTCATAATTTGGCTGGAGCAATGTTATCTCTGAATAAGTATTTAATTGGTTTTACTCAGTACCCGCAGGTACTCTTGATATTTGATGCAAGCATTTGCTGTATTGTCTATGAATGCATTGTGTGTTTGTTATTAATGTTGAAGTAATATCTGACGATTTTCCAATAATTGAAGTTACGTGCTAGCTGAATGCTTGCACAGATGGATCATTAAGTTGTGTAATTACTTTTTTGGAAGCTGATGTACATAAATGGAAACATTTTAAGGAATTTAAGCATTATGTTGTTTCGTAAACTATTTGTTTTGTGTCGTGTTTGTACCTTATTAACAGGCACGGGAAAATCCAAAAAGTTAGCAAAGAGACAGGCAGCCTACAAGATGTGGGAGAAGCTACAGGACAGCCCAGTTGTGCTGTCGAATGCCATTCTTGGTGTGGATGATGAGGACGAGGTACGTGCAGGAATTAGAATAGAGCCTGTCAATCATTGATTGTGTTACTTATTGCATCTTAATTTATGTTCATTGACTTGTTAACTCCACTAATAATTTATAATTGTCAACTAAATGCAGTTTATACCCATACTTGTGTGTAACCTAATCATATGCACTGGGTACTGGGACCTTTCTGTCAATAATAAGATGCATGCACCTTCAGGCTAACTAATTATCTATTAATGTCCATTTTATTTTAGTAAGAACATCCCATTTTTAATAGGCATCTTTCAAAAATTACCCATTTGATCTGACAGTAATAAGTTCATAGATGTTTTTTATGCTTGGAATTATGAACACCGGGAAGTGTATGGAAAAATATTTCTCTGGGGTGTCCTGTGAAAGCCACGCTTCACATGATTCATCGTGAAAGTACATTATTCAAAGGCGTATCACAGTACTTTAGATGATGTTTCACATTTCTGCTGGCGTATTCATTAACAGGTGATGCTAGGCCTGAGGCAGTACAAAGGAAGGAAATTTTGTAACCTCTGCAGTTGGTTAAGAATCATTAAAATTGTTTGCAGTTCTGGCATGTTTAGAAGACTTGATTGCAGATGTTT